CTAAAAAATCTCAAGAAATTCCAAGAAAATACATGCCATCACTCCACTGAGAGGCAATTACATCAATAATCCAAATTGTTATTGAATGTGAAATAGCATTGATTGGTGATGAGATGGTAGATTTTTATTATTTTAGCTATTGGTAAGGAAAGGTTTCTTTTGAATTTGTTAGACGCTTTTTTAAGATATTTAAGCTTTTTTCAACCAAGATATTAGTGTAAAGTGATTTTATATCTAGACTGACCATGAGTTTGTCAGTCAGAATTATTTCCCTTAGTTTTTCAACAATTTTTTTTTATGGTAACATTTAGTAGTGAATTAATTTTTTTCTATGTATGTATTCATGTTTATTATTACAATATCCCCTCCATGGATCAGTGTGTGTGTGTGTGTATATATATATATATATATATATATATAAGAGAGACACACACACACACAAAAAAACATACATGACAATCACTCACAGCTGTTTGAGGTTTCCTACAGACTCACTGAACTTAAATAAAGTCAATTCAGGTTTCCTATGGTAAAAATTTTCTTTCCCAAGTGAAAATCATCACAAAAATAGCAAAAAGTCATTTTGTCACAGCTTATTTTCTCTCAAAATATGGGTTTTCATACTTTTTTAGGGTAAAATATTGAAAATGACTGTTTTATCATCACCTAAACTAATATCAAGGAAACTTTTGATCTGAACCCCATGAAACTAGGTATTTTCTGAAAGCAAAAGATATATTCTTTCATTTAAAAGTAAAATTAGCTGGTGTAAATGACTCAAAATTTTTTTTTCAGTGGGTAAAATGTGAAAAAATAGTAGTGAAAATTTTGCAGTTTTTTCTTGTTCTAAACAAATATTTCCCCCATTAATGGAAATTAATCATTTTTTTTTTTTTTGAAAATCGGAAAGCCTAAATCATAATGAAACTATTTCAGGCATGAAATTGAGAGTTTTGAAGGAAATCAACATTCCTAGAGGTTCAAAATGCGACAAAAAATCCATTGGTAATTTTCAATTATATGACTGCCAAGGGTTAAAAAAATTGACACCTGGCCACGGAAATCTTTAGTAAAAGGCAAGAGATTTATCTGCAATTCCTAACCACCAGAAACCAAAAGTTTTTTTTTTCTAAAAAATAGCGATATAAGGGAAAATAAACCTAATTGACTTTGACGTCTGGGTCAAAGGCCAGCCAGCCAGCCAGCCACCAATAAACGGACGGCAAACCTTAGAACAAGTTGTAATAAAACCCACCACTCCCAGATAAAAGCAAAAGAGAGAAAAAAAAAAAAAAAGGTTCACAATTACTAGGGCTTCATACAACCTATGTTTGAACAATGGCTTGATGAGTTTACTTTTGTTTTGTTTTTAACACCCCGTGACCGGTGATGACAACAACACTTAGCAGCCGACATTGTTTTTTTTTTCGCATATCTTTCGTATTTCCCATCGCCGGTCCATTTAGCCTTTCTTTTTATTCAATGATGTTCATGCCAAATGAAAGAGAAAGGAATGAATTTTGAATGATGTTATTTTGAAGCGAAAAATAAATATTTTTTCATAAAAAAAAGGATTTTTTCTCAGAAAATTGGGCATAATTTAATGCTAACCGCCGAGTGACATTTTCCACAGCCAAATCGAAGATTAATTACCAGTGAATAATTCCATGTGCAAAAAATAGCTGTCTGGATCCTATAAGGTCGCCCTAAAAGGTCCAGAAGTTTACTAATTGATCGAAAACCTGTTGCGCATAATTGTATTTTTCACGGTCAGTTTGCATTATTTCATCTTGATATTATCATTTTCGAACAGCCAAGTCATCAAGGATTCAGGAAAACACTTTGGCATAGGTTTTCTTTAAGAACTTGACATTCTACGAGGTGTTTAAAATGTTACTAACGAATGAGATTTTTTGCCAAATATTTTGTTTACGCGCCATGTTGGATTTTCCTATATGACAAAAACAAGGGTTTTAAACAGCTGTGCACTAAAACCATAAGGACATTTTTGTTAGAACACTACAAAAGTAAATATGTACTTTTGATTCAGGGAAGAACATTTTGTAAGATTTTCTGTAGCTGAAGACCTGCCTTCTCTCTCTCTCTCTCTAGTATAAGTATCTATAAAATGCATTGAATTTTCCATCTACTTATCTCTGAATCAAGATCCTGCTATTTCTTATCTAATAAGATATTAATACTTTTATGGACATTTTTTAATCATTTGACCCCCCTCCCCCAAGCAAGGCAATAAAGCCACTAAGACACTAGGGGTTTCTGAGTGTGAATAAATACGAGAGAAAAATAAAAGAAGAATTAAGACAGAACATAATGATTGCATTTACATTTTTAAAGATCAAAGTTGACTTGAAAGCAAAAAGGCAGAAGAGAACTCAACAAATGAGAAGGAAGTTTGACAGAAAAAAGCTTTTAGCATAGAACTTAGTTATCTAGGCATTTCAACTGTAAAATGTTGAGACCTTTCTGCCAATCGAGTACTGTACTTAAAGCCACAAAATCTAGGTACCATAGAGAAACATTCATTACCATGTAAGTATTTATAGAATAGGCACAGGAAAGTTACATTACAGCGGTGTGAAAGTGACCAAATCCAAGATGCCAGGTCAGGCAGATTCTTCTATGGATTTTATCAAGAATCTCTAAATATGTAGCTGGAACACCAGATCAGATGTGGCAGCAATATTCAAAGCATGGATGAATGGTAGATTTATAAATATGTGAGATGGACAATTTTTCTCTCCAGAATTTATCATGACACAGTGAACCAATTTACCTAGCATTTGATCCAATATCTTTACACTTCACATCAGTAAAAAAAAAAAAAAAAAAGTGTTTACTTGTCTTAATAGTAAGTCTGATAAGTTTGATGAAGTCAAATTGGCAACTGATCTAAAAAAAAAAAAACAACCTACAATCTGTTTTATAAAAAAAAGTTTTTTTTTTGGTTTTTTTAATAACATTTTCATTTACTTCAACATCCTTGTTATCTGTAGCAAAAGTGAATTGTGTAACATCATAAAAACAAGTGTCAGGATATTTGTATCATTTCTGTCAAAAATAAGATTGAAAGAACTGAAGTAATAAATCATTTCAAAGATTTGAAACTGGAATCATTTATAGAAGTAGAAAAGGATTTGGATTAAATTAGATGAATTATGTGATCAGATTAGAAAAAAATAAATGAATGTCTCTGATAGCAACATAATATGCTGTTTGATTTTAAATGTTTTGTATTGCATTTTGAGTGGCTATCAAAAACACTAGAAATAACTACAGGGTGCGATGGATAAATTGCCATCTAAATTATACAAAATGAAAATAACACTGACTTTTCATTTTAACATATATTTACCAAAATTACAAAAAAATATCTTGAAATAGTAAAAAGTAAATTTATTCAATAAAATTGCCATTGGCCTCAACTACGGCCTCCAGACAACTTCGGAATCTCCTCCAACTCTTCTGGACGGTCTCTTTGTTTAAGATGGTGAATGCTGCCATAATTCTTGCCTTCAGTTCGTCTTTGGTGTTACAAAGAATTTTGTTGGTCTCTCAACTATCAAGGGGGAATGAGGTGGCCAGATATAAGTGGTGATGTGGTCACAGAAATTGTCTGACAGCCATGACTGGGTTCTCTTGCTTGTGTTGCATGGTGCAGACCTATGACCAGACAGCAACTGCCCTCTTGACCCATGATAGCACTACCTCCTTAAGGCACTTGATGAGGCCTTCATCAATAAATATGGGAGGTCTTTTCTTATCAGAACAATCAGATTTTTTTTGAGCTGCCATACCTTCATAATCACAATTAGACTCCTCCAACTCTTTCTGAATCCTCTGCACTATCCTTGGATTGGCATCCAAATTCTCTGAAATGTTCATATTGGAGCTTCCAGTGTGAATGTCAAGCAGTACAGCATGCTGTTTCCAAATTTCTGGCAAAGTGAATTGCGTCATTGTGCTGTTTTTCTCACATGGTGCCCAACTGACCCTAATATAACTGTACAGTCAACAAAAACATGCATGCGCAAATTTAAAAACATAAAATGGCGACAATTTACCCATCGCACCCTGTACTGTATTTTCTTGTGAATAATGCAAGAAACTTTGAACAAAAATTAAAGACAAAATGTTGGGGGGGTCATATTATACACAAGTACACATTTTCAGAAATTTTTATTCTGCTTAAAAAAAATCTCCTCTTTGAAACAGCAATATTGCAAATATACTGAGAACAATAGAGAATAAAATATAAAGTAGGCAAGTGTTGATAATAATTGTTTACAAAATGTATTTAATATGTCAGCCATATTTGTTCTTTGGGAATCAATGTAATCTTTAAAATTTGAACAGTTTTTCTCACAAGATAAAGTTTATTTTTTTTATATTTTGATTTTCTTTTGTTTTTATAAAGTTTTCTCTCTTCATTTTTAATGAAGGACAATATTTTTTTATTTTCATAATGTATTAATATATAGAAATATAACAAAATCATATCAAACAGAAAAGTATAATAGATTAATTAACACCTTAAAATATATTACCAGGCATGTCTAGCTTGAACCTTTCTTCAAAAATTTGAAAATAAGTTTTAAACAAAAATTAGAAGAAACAATAGCTAAAACTGGTTCAATTCTATTCTTTAATACCACAAAAAATGAAATATTTTAGTGAAATATATGTATGACATTGAAATTTTAATGGTTAATATGGTACAAATTTTCAAAAAAATTGACATAGGGGTGGCTGTACTACAGGTTTTCATTTTATACACAAGGATGTAATTTATTCCCTGTTTTTTAGCTTCAGAAATCTGGAGGGGTCATTATGCTAAAGTTGTATTTATGTACAAGAAAATATGGTGTTTCTAGTAATTGGGATTAAAATTTAAGTAGTTTTGTGTTAATACTATTTTCATTTCCTTGTTTTAATAATTTCTTTTGTAACACATTTTATATATTATTTATTTTTAACCAAAGGCGAGAACTGGCAGGCCCTGAATGGTCATCATTATAATTCAAATGCAGATGTCTTTTTAAATGTCTGCCATGACATTATACCTGAGAAAAGAACAAGTGGATGCCCTTCTGGTAGTGCAATTTGTATGAAAGGTAAGGTTTAATTTTTTCTATTTAAATTTTATTATTATCCAATCTAATTTGCACTCTTCGCTCTCTTACACACCAACTCTAATTCTCTGATTAGTTTAAAGTATAATGAAAGTTAAGATAGTTTATAACTTGTTTTCTGACTCCTAAATGTCATACATAAGTATAGATTGACTTTTGTCTTAAACATCAATCAGATTTTCATCTAATAAATAATCTTCTCTAAAAGTCAATATCAATTTTGTTTGTAATTTTGAGAAAAGTCATTATCATTCAGAGAGATTTTTGAATTCCTTTTATTTTTTTTGTTTGTATAATGGATTAATAGGAATAACAATTACACTAAAAGGTTCACTTATCTGAAAATCTTTTTTTCTTTTTTTTTTTTTTTTTCTTTTTTTTCACTGAATAGCTGGTTTTGTTTTACAAAAGTAAATATTACATAAAAGTAACTGAATACTGCCCTGATTAAAACTTCTGACATGGAGGTAAACAAGGAATTGAAATACCAATACACCATCAGTTTTGGAATATTAACTTTTAGTTTAGGAATGCATTTAGTATGTTCATAAATGGAATTTTATTGATTTATTTTGTGTGTGTCTGTGTGTATCTTAAGGCTTCTAAAATTTGTAGTTGTTTTTCACAGTTTATATGATGTATTTTTTTATCATTTTATCTCAAGAAAGGTAATAAAACCACTAAGATACAAGGAGTTACTGAGTGTTAGAGAATATGAGAAAAATACTATTAAGGAGAGAGAAGAATAAAAGAATAAGAATTAAGAAGACAGAAGATAACAATTGAAATTGCATGTCAACTTTTGAAGATCAAAGTTGACTGGAAAGGAAGAAGCCAGAAGAGTTCCACAAATGAGAAGTGTGATAGAAAAAATCTGTTAGCATAGAACTCACGGTTACATCTACAGGCAATTTCAACTGTAAAATCTTGAGACCTTGCCACCAGTCTAGTACTGCACTTTAAGTCTCTAGATGCCATAGAGGAAAGTTCATTAGAACAATTACCATGAAAGTATTTGTGGAAAAAGCACAGAGAATCTATAGAGATGGGAAAGTGAAGGTGAGATACAAAGTCAAGACCAATAACATTGCAGATTCTTCTTTGGATTTTATCAAGAATCTCTAAATATATAGCAGAAGCACCAGACCAGATATGACAGCAATATTCAAAGCCTGGACAAATGATAGACCTATAAATATGTAAGATAGATTCTGGAAAGAAAAATTGTCTAGCATGACACAGTGAACCAATTTTTATAGCAGCATACCTAATAATTAATTCAAAATCTTTGTGCTTCATGTTGACAGAAAATGTTAGCCTGTAAAAGTGCACAAGTCACTCACCTGTTAGGTTAGTATCAGTCATGCTGATGGAAGGCAAAAAGGTGTTTCTCAGTATTTTTGTATTATTCAGAAGTATTTGTCATACTACTTGTGCTGAGTGGTGAATTATAATTTAATTGACATATTATCAAATAAATGATCAGTTAAACAGTGCAATATTGTGTAATCAGTATGTTATTTGAGTTTAGGAATAAACAATACTAAATATATTAAACAACTAAAAAAAAAAAAGCCAGTGATGAATGTTTAAAATTATAAAGTTTCATTTCATGCAGACTCTTCACAACTTTCTACCTTTTGCTTTAAGTAACTTTTGACCCTTCACCATTCCCCTTTGTCCTTGTTCTGCTATTCATTCATGCAAACTCATTGATTTCCCATGTTTCTCTGACCTTCAATATGTCAATGTTAAATTCACTATGCCCTCTTTTATTGTGTCCCAAAAATTTCAATTGCTGCTTTTAGATGTGTCCTTTTTTTATTTATTTTTTTTTACTTTTGCTTATCCAATGCAAGCCCCAAGAGCCGCTTAAGGTAGAGGGATACTGAATGAGGTGGCTTTTGGGACTGTAAGGAGGAGGAAGTAGGTAGTGCATATTATAAAGATATGTAGTCTAGTTAACAGTTGACTCTTGACTTGAAGAGGTTAAGATTGTGGTAGTTAGGGAAGAATCCTCTTTGGAGTCTGTTCCACACAGTAGCAGTTTTGGGAAATAAGTTGTCCAAGTGGAACTTACTCCTTATCAAAGGAACGTAAAAGGAATGGGGATTATTTTCCACTATGAACATGGCATGGCAGGTTCTAACTCTGAAGGAATGTAACTCGTTAGAACATTTACCATTGTAATAGCAGTAGAGTAGTGAGAGGCTAACAATGTTTTGTCAGTGGGATAAGGATTGCAGGGTGGAAAATAGTTTATCACTCACAAGGCAGCATAATCACTTTTGGTCTCTGTCAAGGCCGGGCAGCAAGAACTGGACAATACCAGCCCAGATATAGCAGAAAGTCTCTATTCTAGGTCTGATCTGACTTGTAAAAGTAAGAGCATAACAGTGGGAGTTAGGTATTTTCCAGAGTGAATACAAGGTACTGACTGTTTTTCCAGCATCTTTAACGATGGCACAAATATGAGTTAATTTTCCTTAAAACCTGGGATATTTTGGAGACAATCAAAAATAACATCTGTGGCAATAATTCGCATAAATCAAATCCTACCACACTCACAAAATTGACTCATTTTGTTTATTTGGACTAATGACTTCTGCTGATATGAAATGGAAAGATGATATTGGATCAATTGCTATGTCCTACTGCTAGCAAAGTTGGTTCACTGTGTCATTTTTCTCACCAGAATCTATCTTACATTTCTATAATTCTACCATTTGTTCATGCATTGAATATTGCTGCCACATCTAGTTTGGTGCTTCTATGTATTTAGAGATTGATAAAATCTAAAGAAGAATCTGCAATGTTATCGGTCTTGACCTGGCATCTCACCTTCAGTCACTTTTCCACTACCATAATGTAGCTTTCCTGCGCTATTTTTTATAAAAAATTTTCATGGTAATTGTTCTGATGAAATTTTCTCTTTGGTACCATAACTTTACAAATTTAAGTACATTACTAGGTCTCCTCATTTTACAATTGAAATTACTAGATGTAACCATAAGTTCTATGTTAAGAGTTTCTTCTCTTGCACTTCTTGTTTGTGGAACTCTCTTCTGGCCTCTTACTTTCCAGAGATTGTTGATCTTCAAAAATTTAAATGCCATATCAATCATATCTTGTCTTCTTAATTCATGTTCTTTTATTCTCTAATGTTTTTCTTTTTCTCACATTATTTCAAACTCAGTAACCTCTTTTATCTTAGTGGCTTTATTGTCTTGCTTGCCCAATCCATAAAGAAAGAAAATTTTCTTTACATTCAACTTAAACAAAACATTTTCTGTAAATATGCATCTGCTTCAATATTAGGCGAGAAAAAGGTTGTGTGTGTGTGTGTGTGTGTGTCTCTCTCTCTCCCTCAGTATTTTAGCTACAAATTTAATTTTTAACTTTGACCTGATATGTTCTGTCTGAATTTGTCCTGATATGTGTGACCTACTACTATTACCTTAATATTTGTCATCTGCATCATTGTTAAAGAAACCTTTTTTTCTTTTTTTATCCTTCTGTTCAGGATTTGGAGATAAGTTTGTGAATCTTGGCCGATACACACAAGGACCTGTGTACAATCCAAGCAGTGGTAACATCCAGCTAACTTATTCAGAAGGGGATGACTGTGGCAAAACAAAATACAAATCAATCATCACCTTTTACTGCAATCCTGGTAAGTATAAAATATATGCAAATCTTTCCTTAGAATGTGTGGCCAAAGCATGGATTGTGAGCCACATGCAGCTCTTTGACCTTTAATATGCTATAAGATATAGCTAAAATTCTAACTCTGGTTGTTGCTAATGATTTAATGAAATTGGTAAAGAAGTTTGAGATAGAATTGTTCTTGCTCTAAAATGACCCAAATTTTTTTTGGTATTAGTCCATAAACAAAAGTTATCTTATAAACTCTGGATGTTCTGAAAAGAAATCTTAAGACAATATATTGAAGAGTTACTTTTTTTTTTTTTTTTTTTTTTGTTTCAGCTCATTAACAACATACTGACAAGAGAGTCACTGAAAAAACAATTTTTATCAACAGTATAAATATTATCTGTACTATAGAAGAAGAGTTGACAAAGAAGGTGTCTTCACCTACATATCAATAAAGGACTCACACCCCCAAATTTTTCAACATGTAGAAGCAAACATCATTTCTTTCCCTACCACATGGATGGTGGAATCTGGATTTTCAGATGTTGTGGATGTTTTTAGTAGAAAAAGAAATGTATTAGATCTCAACAGAAGAGGAACTATCAGACTAAGACTGAATGACACCATCAAAATTGATTCTGATATCCAGTGTTTATCCTTGTTTACTAAAATAAATTTTAAAGTGTAAATACACTACTTTGTCTTTTCATTGAGTATTTTAGTGTGAAAATTGAACAGCCTAAAAATAAAAATAGGAGTGATCCATTTGAATTTTTTGAAGAAAAATAATGGTCCATGGGTTGAAAAAGGTTGAGAAGGACTGATCTATAGTATGAATTATTATAAGATAGTTTTGACTCAGTTTTGAGAGTTGACTTACATATTTTGAATTTTCAATGCAGCCTGCATTAAAACATTTTCTTTATGTTGTTTTTAAGATTTACACTTTATTATATTTGTAACCTCAGGATAGATTATTAATGCTGTCACACATTTGAAAAATGTCTGACAGCATCTGAGTAAAGCCAAGAAAGGTTTTTGTTTTTATTTACTTGTTTCTACTGTTTTTTTATTCTATTTTTATTCTAGGTGTTACAAACAGTGCTCCTGTTATAATTTTAAAATCTGATGATGAATGTGTTTACAATTTGGAATGGCATACAGCTGCTGCATGTGTCCAGATGCAAATAACTGGGACTAACTGTCGTGTATCTGATGACACTTCTGGTAAGAATTACATTTCTTTTCCCTACATATTATGGAAAGTACATTGTCTGCCATTTCCTTCAAAACAGCTTTTTTTATTATTTTATCTTGCAACAGCGCAGCTGGTTAAAGGCTTCATCAGTTAATTATTAATTAATTTGTATTTAAAGTTCATTACTTATAAAATAAATCTTTAAAAATTTTATTAAACTTTTTGACCAGCTTATCTAACGCTTTCGCCCCAGCCCTTCAACCTCCGACGTCTTACTCTCTGGGTCTACTCAGTCCTAACCGAACTTAAGGGAGTGACTGTAGGTCCCCTGAGCATCCGTAGATTATTCGACCGGTCCACTGGTTTTAATCCTGCTTCTTGCCTATGTTGTGTTTGGTTTGATCCAGAAAGCAGAAGTGATGTTCATCCATTCACGGTCATCTGAAGAGATAGACATGGCTGGAGAGTCTGTGCTAAGAAATTTAGAATGCAGCAAAAAAAAAAAATTAATATCTGCAGAAAGTCGGACAAACAACTATTCAATGATTGAATTCTTAATGTCTTTTATACAGCAGAAAAGAATAGTATAGAAAAGAAACGGGTTACAGAAAAGAAAAGTAATTGATGTAGAAACGCATACACTGGATTCTGGACACAGAGAGAGTGTGTTATGATTAACTTGTTGTTAAATCATCTCGGAACAATATACAACTCTTGCGATGGGGGAATCAGATTTCTGTGCGCAGCTTCAAGTTTATAGTGGCGTTCCTTCTTAGCAATAGTAATATTTGTGGTAGCAGAAGCAACAGTACTTATATCAACAGTACATGTTAGCGGATGCTTTGTTCCAATCTTTGACGTAACTTTCTCTCCTTCTTGAGTCTCCAACTCAACTCTCCACTGTCTCTAGCCAAACTCTTGCCCGGGCTAATTCTCTTCTGTCTGCTTGTCCCATCTGCCTCTTCTGTCTGCTTGTCCGATCTGCCTGTTCTTCAGCATAACTATGTGTTTATATAGAAAAATCCAGCTGGTTACAACTGAACCATGGCCCTACTACTTTGCACGTGATTATCACTGTGTTTTGGCTGTTTCAACCAAAATCATGTAAATTCTAAAGGTCCTCCTTGCTTACTCAGCTCTATTCCAAGTTTTAATCAATAAAAATTATTTCAACCATTTCCATTGTCTGCTAATCACCCAGTTCTAATGGGTACAGCTCCTGCCCTAGATCAGATTTCCCATCAGTAAACGATATTTTCTGATCAATTTCGCTAGTTCAAATCTACTCCAATTTCACTAAAAAAAAAAATATACGTGTGTGTGTGTTTCCCAGACTCTGTCACACTTATAAGAGAATCTAAATGAATGACTTTTGGGATGTACAGTGGCCGTTAATAATTAGGTATAACTCAAGACTTCAATTACAACCACAAATAAATACTTAACAAGAACAAAGAAGTAAAAGTCAACTAAAGATAATTAACCATTTCAGTGAATATCTTGTTAGTAGCGCAGCTTGGCTTAACAGTTAGTAAATCCTACATCAAACCCAAATCACTGATGCACAATAATTCACACTAATTCAACTGGATAGTTCCACTCAATAGTCACTGCAGTCAGTAGCCTGACACTGCTATTTATACACCTGGTGGAAAAGATAATCATAAGTCCAGAGTGTCAGGCTCAAACCTCGGTGTTGGTAGTTACTCATTTTCTTACTATATGACACTTAGTCAATTTTATAGTTTTTAAATTTTTAATCCCTTGATTTCATTCATATTTTGATTCAAGTTGAATAAACTTTCATCTATATTTGCTGTGGTTGACTTGTACATTTTGTTTAAAAAAACCTGCAAATACATTTTGAGAAGTACTATATACTTTTATGAATATGACTCTTCTAATATTTCACCTTACTAAAGCAAGATAGAAAATCTTATTGCTAAATACACCTACTTGTTTAAGAACATCTGTTTATATTTCTGAGATGAGATATTGTAACTATTTACATCATTCGAACTGTTGTTCTCATCTTTACTGCCATATTCACAATGTTTCAACCATTGTATGCTCTGACCTTCTTCAGGTGAGATATATTGAAATTTTGAACTGAACCCTTTATTTGAATGTTCCCTCTCCAATTACCAAAAATGTCTAACACCTGTGACTTATGACACTCCACGCCATGATGCCAGGCAATTCCACTCTGGGAGCTGTTATTCTTCAGGCCCATGTCACACATGCAAATGACTATAACTTTCATGAATGTATAAACTGCTCTTATCACTAAACCATACAGATCTCTAAGTTGACTTTCACATGAAACAGGAGTCATGGTGTTGTAACATAAGTGGAAATTAGCTAGAGGCATGTGTGCTATTTATTCTTATTAAATGTTATTGAATTCGACTTGTTTTATTTCAGGTTCAAATCTTCCTAGAGCGTTTCCCAAACGCCTGGCTTCTAATTATTATTTTTAACCCTTTTTTTTTTATTCTCCTCAGCACTTAATTAGTTTCTCCAAGTTTTTCACAGTTTAATCTTAATTATTTCCTGCTACAAATTGTCATTAGGCATTTTCATGTATTGAAATGTTGAACCAGGGTTTACCCCCCTGTTGTATCCCTCATGCAGGTAAAATGTTGAACCAAGGTTTTCCACCCTGTTATACTGCTGCCCTTATCAATCTAAGTAAAAAAAAAAAACAAAATCAATGATTGCTTTTAGAAATTTTGATGAGGGTCTGTACTACATTGCCATCCAGAAGTTGATTAGCATGCATAGAAATGTTCATTTGACTACTGTTGTCAACATCAAAGCATTACCAATAAATACAGCAATTCTCCAAAATTATTGTCCCACAGTCTGACCTCTTCTCAAATGGCTAAAATTAAGAATTAATTCTGTGGCATGACATCCTACACTGAACTCTTTCATAATAATGAATCTTATTGTAACATGTATCCCTGTCCCAATGTTGAAACACAGATCGTTCACTGGTATTAGTGTTACTACTATAAACATGAAAACAGGTTCCTCATCCAGCTTCTCACTAGCTGGCCAATGGCTACCCAATATTGCATCTCCTTTCTCATTTGTGCAGGTGTACACCAACAAATGGGAAAGATTCATTGCAAACTCATAAAGAAAAAGAAAGAGGAAATAAATGCTGTGGCATGAAATAAGAACCTGAACCCTATATATATATATATATATATATATATATATATATATATATATATATATATATATATATATGTGTGTGTGTTTAGGTGTTTTTTTATTGAGGGGGGCTTTATTTACTCGGTTTGGGAGGGTAGGTCAGTGACACTTGGAACAACTTCTGCCATGTCAGACAAACAGATAAGCTCTCCCATTCAACTCTTCTTCCTAGCAGCTCTTTACCCATCACAATGTGCAGCTGGCAACATGAACAGGTAGTACAGAACTGAATTGTTTCAATCCTAAGGGTGACTTTCAACATTATTCTGTCACAGGAAAACTTTAATGTTCAGTTTTCTTGTCACTTATTCCCAAGAGTTTTTTTTTTTATTCCTTTTATGCACTTTTGGTCAAGTGGGTGACCACATTAAAGACCATATCTCTAACTTTATTGCTAGTCATAAAACATGAAACACTTGAGACTACCCACTTCTATGTGCATGTCCCATTCATAGTGTCAAACTACAGGATGACTGAAAACTTTCAAATCTTATTAGGATATCTACTACCCTCTAATAGGCTGATCAGTCAAATTTGTCATTGTTCTTTAGAGTATTGCAATTTTATCTTCTATCAGTGTATTAATAAATAAATATAACAAGATTTAAATAAGTTTCCTAAAAAATATTATGCTGTTTGAAAAGAAATAGCAAGTAAAGATATTCTGTGTGTTCAGAATGTAAAATAAAAGATATTCTGTATGTTCAGAATGTAAAATAAAAGTTTTTTTTTCTTTAGCAAAATTCCTGTGTAACATGCGAAGTAGTAGTAGTTTCAACTGGCATCTAAATATCACAGAATTAATTTTTTTTCTTGTCTCTTTTCCAGGTTATAATTTTGATTTGTCACCTTTGATCAAAAAGGGAAAGGAAAAATATGAAGTTAGTTCCAAATCTTACATCTATTACTTAAACATATGTGAAAAAGTACAAGGTACACCGTGTATTTCCCTAACAACAGGTGTATGTCAGACAAAAGTTGAAGATCAGTAAGTGACAAATTTTGTTTCTTTATAACTGAATTAGTAAATCCGAAACTTTTTTTACTGTTTCTTTCAATTTCTATATTCAATTACTAATCGATATTTAATATTTATATTTAATTACTAATCTACAAATGCATTTCTGTAAATCTAGTGTCTTTCACAGTTATGTTGGATTTAGAAAATTTGCACATTACCAATTAAAAGCTGTGATTGATAAATTTGGCATCAACATTAATAAACTCTTAGATCTCAAAAAATTCTTGTCTTTTAATTATGCAGAAAATAGTTAAAAATAATGGAAGTGTTAACAATAAAAAAAAAAAAAGAAGAAACAACTCTCAATATCAATTATGAACATGGCCACAACATGCTGACTGTGTTCGGAAATTAAAACATTTATATTACTATCTATATAAAATCTACACATTCATTTAAACAAAATACATCCTTGATAATGGTTAATAGATCAGCTGAATGTGCTTGGATCCACAGATCATTTAGACAGTTTTTACATACTCTTTGTCCCAAAAGGAAATCCCTTGTAAGAATGCAAGAAAAATATAATAAAAAGCTTAAACATAGTACTCTATCAGTCACCTTTAATGTAACCTGTATAAAAGAGGGATTGCTGCCCAAATATATATATATATACACACACACACACACACACACACACACAACTCTCCATATTTAGAATGCTCTGTCTCCAATATTGAGCACACTTTTCTCATAAAGTTTAAATTATATGTATGTAGGTATGTCAAATTACTGAAGGTTGGAAGTCAGTACATGATGAAAATGATAACTAATCTGATTATTGATTGTTGGAATGGGATCCCAGTTCCACTGGGACTGGATTGGTGGTATCCTGCTCTCCCTATACAAAGGGAAAGGTGAAAAATTTTGAACTGAAACCCTTTATGTGGTAACTATCAAGGTATCTCTTGTGAAGTCACATAAAGAAAAAAAATCACCCTTGACATTCTCCAGACACAGCGTGTCACAGCCTGCACGCAGTGTGACAAGGTATGCACAACCAGCTCCTGACTGAAAAGGCACATGGTGGTGCACAGGAATCAGACACAGCAGTGTGAATCCATCAAGGTTGTGGCAAGTACAGTATTCGTCTGTCACTTGTGTAACAAGTCATTCAAGTCCACAGCCAGCCTGGCAAGTCACCTTTGGGGTCATGTATTATAGATGTGCGAGGTGGGGAGCAAACATGATTAGGCGGCCATCATCTATGAAGATGCAGTGGATCATCATCTTATATATATATATATATATATATATAATTATTTTTTATAAAAAAAATTATAACATAAGTATGTTATAAAATCACTACAAAAATAGCCATTTTGTTTCAACACCCTCAGTGTCTTATCAAGTGATGATGTTGAAGATAAAATAAATGGTTTTAAAAGTTTCAGATTAATTAACGATCATACACTAGGGGGAGACATTGTTACAAAAGCTAGAATAACCAATCAAAAACCAAGTATAGAAAGATTCAAAAGCTTGACAACGAAATCATGCTATAATAGCTATTCAGATCTTTAAATAAGTGTAATATTAAAAAGAATTCATACTAACCAATAATTATAAAATTATATGATAAAATTTAATATTAAAATTAAAAACTGCCAATTTTAAAATCCAAATTTAATCACTATTAAGTTTAAAAACTACATAATTATTGAGAAAAGAAAAAATACATATGTTATTCAATTTATTTCTTCGTTGAAATTACGTTCGACATGTATTGTCAAATGACCGAATATATTGTAGCATCTTATATATAAAGATACTTTTTTTTTTTGTATTTCAAGCTTTAATTAATAGTTCAAATTATATACAAAGTGCATTAATTCATCAAAATATGTCTCACCATATTCTGTTGTCATCATTGTCCCAGAAGCTCAATTCAATGCTTATATGATTTGGTTGGTTTTAGGGATAAAAAAAACCCCAAAAAACAAACTCCCTACATCTGTTTTCAACTTTAGCCACATTGGTGAACCTCTGTCTGTGCAGAAAATGAACTATGATGTAGAAAATGTGGTAATCTGATGGTGTAATGTCTAGACTGTATGTGGGTTTAGGCCCTCTCAACTTTGCACTTGGTCACATTGGCAGTGTGTGCTGAGTCATTGCCCAACTTTAGGAGTGTGTATCTTTGTTTGACCAATGTCAGGGAGCGGGCTTTCAAAGCATCATACACTCTCTGCAGTTGTTGAGCATAATTTCAAAATCCCACCAAATGCACAACATGGACTTCTGTTCAAACTGCCCTTGTTTGACAACAGGTTCAGAAGCTTGGCTGGGGGGAAATCACTGATTTCTTTTATTAGGATTACAAAAATAGATTCAATGTCAAAACGGGTATCTTGTGGAATTGCCCTCAGTTGTTAGCAAATGTTCACTCGCCTGTGAGGCTGGTCATTAGTCAGTTCATGAGGAACTTCTCCACAGCATCTGTTCACAAGGCCAAGCTTACCTTGTGCTTGGGTGTTCATTTCAAGCAAGGCCTCATCTTCCACAACAGAAGATATTCCTGACTTTGGTTTGTCTTCAAGGCAGGTGTCACCTTCCTTAAAACGTCAAAAACTAGTTTTGTGCCACACATTCATTGACAGTTCCTGGAGTTTCTACATCATTAATTTCTTTTGCCATTGCATTTGCACTTTGTCCTTTCCACAGGTTGCATAAAAATGGTTTTAATTATAATTTTTTCACCACTCATTATTAAAGCTGTAAGATACCAAATAAACAGTTAATGTTTATATGTCATAAATGAAAATAAAGAATAAACAATTCAGCAATGATTGAACCAGTCAAATCAAATTAATGAGATAACATGGAGACACAAGCTGCTAAAAATTATCAGTGAAAATATAAAAAAAACTTTTCACTCAAACTGGTATATACACTTTATCAAACATTTTGGTAATGCATGTAGAGTATTTCTCACCATATATATCCACCCTCACAAAACCAAGATCTTTCAATATCACTTTTATGCTTTGATGCTTGGAGTTATTGGTACTAGACTGGTACCTGAACCCTTGATGACACCAGAATGAAATAGATCTGATTTACAATGGTTAAAATATGAAACAATTGCATTTTATAGATTGTCTTTTTCTCTGAATAATACTTGCCAAATTAATGCCAGGAAAAGTACCAAGCATAAAACACAATGGTGCATATATATATATATATATATATATATATATATATATATATATATATATATATAACATTTATTCTTAATTATAAACATTTGAAATTTTCATTTATTCAAAATAAATAGTAGTTTACTTTCACAAAATTAATTTATTTATTTCTAACACTTTCTATAATTTTCTAAGCTCTTGCCTTACTTAAAAAAAAAAAAAAAAGTTCTTGCCCCAATATGGAAAAGTTATTGTAAAGTACCTCCAAAAAAATTAGGGGTATTTAAAAATATTCAAAATTTTTCTTGAAGCTTTTATTTTAGTTTTAATTGAAAGCTAATAGACTAAATTTTATTTCCAATAAGCAAAATGCTTCATTGTATTTCAAACCAAACTTAAATTGAGTGGAATGATTATTTTTTTCTGTTTATCAATAAAATCACCCATATTGACAAATATGTCAACACAATATAATTCTCTTTATGAAAACAAATCTTGCAAAAATAAAATACTTTTATGAAATATTATTTGAAAAAAATTAGCTGGTTTAAAGTTTAATTAATCTGAATTGAAACGAATATTTTCTGATGTGAAGGAAAGTGTTTTATGAGGTGTTGACACTTATCGCTAGCCTGAATGTTTGGGAAATCTAAGTAAAGAGCAGATAATTATAATTAAATTACATGACAAATACAACGTAAGCACATTTTTTTATATACTATTACATATCCAGTAATCAGCAAAATTTAAAATATTTTAAGCATTTTAATATTTTATTGAATTTCATGTACTTTATCATTCTACTCTTACTATAAGACACTTGTTATGCAAATATTTGAAAATTACCAATAAAGTTTTAAATTTACTATAGTTGCCACTCTTATTTTCTGATAATGACATATATGGACATCCATATTTGCAAACATCAACACATTTATAGACACAAAAATAAAATTCAAAATTCTTTTTAAAATATTGAGGGTCATTGAACTGTAGTAAATTTTTCCATTAATGATTATTAAATACAGTTTTTATTTAATAACAATATCACTTGTCTCCTACAAATTAATACAGAATTTTAAAAGTTTACAAATTATTCTAATTAAAATTTAAAAAGAAAAATGAAAACAATTCTTGTAAAAATTCATTATTAATAGAAAATTTTTTTTCTTAAGCCAATAGTGTCCATAATATATTTTATTCATTTATAAATAAAATATATTAGCAATTAAAAGCTTTTCTAATTAAATAATGTTTTATTGCATATTTTATGATTCAGAGCAGATTTTCTGTAACTGGGGGCCCTGTTTGACCCTCAAATTTTCATAATTTAAATTTTCTGGGGACTTGTCCTTATAACTAATATAAACATTAAGGGCTAAAAAAAAAAAAATTCTCGAAATTTCATAAAATTAAATAAGTGAGAGGTAACATGTAAAAAGAAATTATTTTTTACCAAGATTTTCTGAAAAAACATTTCAAAAATAATTTATTTGTGAATAAATACTGAAAGTTTCATGAACATTATCTGATTTTTGTAAAAATTTCCAAATTAATGTGTTTTTCATTGCAAAAAGATGCTCAAATTTCTCATCCTTTGTTGATACCAAAAGAGAAAAAAAAAATATTTTTAACCAAAATTTCAAACATTCTAAAAAGGAAAAACAAAACAAATTTACATAAAAAAAAAAATCCTTTCATCTTAGTAACACAAATTTTTTGATGATAAAACTGTTTATATTGGCTGGGGGTAAGTATGTTATGCATGTAGATATTTTTATTATTATTATTATTATTTTTTCATCATAGAATTCTCAGTTTTGTTTTAATCAACAAATTTAATTCTCTCTTCCTTAGTTTTGCAGTAAATACAGGAGTTGTCAACAGCAACCTTACTTACTATAATGGTATCCTGAAACTAATTTATAAAGATGGAGACAAATATCATACCATTCCTCCTACTTCTAGAACAACCGTGATCACTTTTTTATGTAGTAAAGGTGACAAAATTGGACATCCAGAATTTATAGAAGAAACTAATATGACATATTGGTTTTCTTGGTATACTCAGTATGCCTGTACATCTCCACCAGTTGAATGCACCTTCACTGATGAAACAACAAAAAAGCAGTATGACCTATCTCAGTAAGTATCATTATTTTTTTTTTTTTTTTTTTGATGTAAGAACTAATAATTCTTGACTTGTTTCAGTTTACACACATTAAATAAATAAAAAAACAAATAATTTTCTACATGAGTTATCTTTTTAATAAGGTCATTCAGCAGTGCATCTCTGTGTTTACCATTTAGTTGTCTAGTCACCAAATGTATCAACTGCAGTTCATCAATTTCACAATATGGCTAGCAAAAGTAATCAAGCTAGAACAGCTTGCTCCCATTCCCACCCACATTTTCATCAAGTTAACAGCTTGCTTATATGCTGAACTATATTCTTTCTGTTTAGCTATCTTTAGCAGCCAGAGGTTGGGGGCTCTTTGCTATGTCAATGTCTTTCTCTGTTTAGCTTTCTTTCTTTCTTTTTCTTTTTTTTTTTTTTTTTTTAAACTATTGTGAGGCAAGCCATGTGACTCTACAGAAGTATGCTCAGAATACCATGGATATATGAACAAGTTTTAGAGGCAATGGAAACAAAAAGGACACTTAACATTGAACATCAGAAAGAGATAATTGAAATTTCTAGGGCACATAATAAGGAAAGAGAGCTTTGAAAATTTGACACTGACAGGTAAGAGGGTCAGAGGAAAGCAGTGTATAATCTAGGTAATGAGCTTGTGTAAATGGATGACAGAACAGAGACTAGGAGAGACAGCAAAAAGACAAACTTTACTAATATAAATTGCTCCATAAGTGGACTTGAAGCCTGCTTACAGAATTGATTGTGACCAGGTCACTTTTTGCCACTGAAATCAAATGTAAACAAACGCTGACCAAACACTTTCTGGCTGCCAGGTGTTAACTGTGCACTAGAGAGATAGTCATTTTCTTGTCAGATGTGCCCAGTAAGTCACGTATGGGTATGTGTTTTTGTCAGATTTTCCAGTACATCTCACACTCCATGAAATGAATCCATTTTTTGACAGCAATCATCTAGTGATTCATTGTGTCCCCCCACAGAGGGGTTATTGACTCCCTCCAGTGAGTGTGGTAACTTGTTTCTTACGTGATCCTCAAAACTAGCCTCCAGTATCGAAGTTAGGCAGATCTCTTCAATATAAATTACCACTTCAGAAAATTTAACAATAATTCATTGACAGGAAATATTACGCAAACATGTGCCATTTACACATCTCGGTAGCAAAATGGTGATTTGAGTATTTTAGTTTCTTTGGTTTGTTTTCAACTTCTCTTCAGTTCTCCCCTGATATGATAATTTTAAAATCAGTCTGTCCTAGCATCTTATAGCAAACCTGCAACAATCTTGTTTGTGTCTGTTCCATCCACTGATTTCTTGTGTGCTCTTGTCTTTCAGTGATGGAGATTTTCCTAGTACTTTGTCCTGAGTTCTTTCCAGTGACCCTTGAAATTAAATACTTCATCAGTTTATATAAGTGATCTCCAATGGGTACATGTTGTAATATTATCTCATCCTCATTGCCAAAATGTTATAACCTAGGGAAGGTTACTGAATAGAATAATCACACGAAGGTTGGTAATGAAGATAATAGTTAGGAAAAGAACAACACATATAAGATTCACCAGTGGTACGTAGAAGTAGTAGTCAACTTCTAGAAGTGAATCTAGTGAATTCCACAATGAATCTCCAACTCTAGATCACGTACAGTCTTCACTACTGTATTTATGGGAATGGGTGCATACCCATTATCATCCATAGGTATGATACAACAGTACCCCATTTCCCATTTTGATCTTGATGTATGTAAAACTTTGCACTTTTATCTGGATTATTTCAGTATGTCAATTGTCCCAAAAGACATGTCCCCAACAAAAACAACATTTCTCTTTTGATGAGAAATACCTTATGGCTTAGCACTGTAGTATTAAGAATTTAGCCCTTTCTAATTAGATTTCAGTTTGGAAATCTGAGCAAATATTTTTCCTTAGCAGGGAAAGAAAACCACCCCTGAGAAATTCCAAGTTAATGACTTTTCAATAAATTTGTTCAGGGTTCAAATTTCTCTGATTTACTCATCAACATTTCATATATTTAATATAATTTTAATTCATTTCTTTTCTCATTTTCCTTCTAATTATTTAAGATATTCCTTGGGGAGTTTTTGCAATTTATTTCTAATTACCTCAAATCATTTTGCATTCTCATGCCACTACATGTCAAACCAGGCTACACTAAAAGCTACAAAGGGCAGGAAATTGTGAAGAAATATGATCACTGGTGTTTTGGAGGGACCTGGCACATGGAAGGAGAAAAATAGGCAAACCATCCGTTTTCTTTCTTTGTGTTGTGTTGATGGCTTACTTAAAAGTAAACACTTTCAACAATAGAGAGAGAGAAGTGTTGCATGTTGTGTAACAAGATACTGGTCCTGTTTAATTGCATGAAATTACAGAATGGTAATTTGCAGGGGTTACTATTTGGATAATAATTATTAAAATTCTCAGGAAAGTAGGTTGCATTAAAATTTATATTTTAAAATAATAAAATGAATTTAAGAACAGTTTTAAAGAGAATCGAACTCATGGTTAACTAGACAAGATTCAGTAAAATTGAGCAAAAGCAAGGTTACCAACCCTATCGATTTACTGCTTGATAAAAAGATTGTATTGTCTGAATTTCTTAGGTCCTAAGAAATTAAAATTTGGAAACTTCTTTACATTACACTATCTGTTCAAATTCTATGTGGTCACAATTTAGAATGATCTAAATTATTCTAAACAAAAAAATTGAAAATTGAGATTTATTTATGTTGATCACCCAAAAACACAATTCTCTTTACAGAAAGATATGTAGGAAGATTCTAAGCAAACAAACAAAGGAAGTAACATATTGTGGTGTTTTTTTTTTTTTTTTTGGGGGGGGGGGGTTTCAACAAGGTTTCTTAAGATTAAGATGGTCGGGTGGAGAAATTGAGTATATCAATGGCAAATTTTGGAACGGGAGTTGTCTGTATAGACAACAGCCAACCTCACAGGCCAAGATGAACAGTCGAAGACTAAGCCTAACAAGAAAGGTCACCAGAGATTTGTTCCAGTTGCATTTCTTGTGGCTGGGCTGAAAAGACATGTAGTTGGGAAAATGGGCACAGGAGAAGTCTGCTTTGGCCAACCCAGGATTGCTCATATGACTAAAGAGCATGTGCATAATTCCAGAGCTGGAGTGAAAATACAGATACATCCATGGCAGAAGAATTGAGTGAGAGTTGATTGATTATTAGAAAACTTGATTTTGCAGTAGATGACATTTTATTCAACCAGTTTTTTCTTTATATTCAATAAATCTTGAATGAAAAATCAGCTTGTGACTCCTTCAAACCATCAGCAAGGATTCCAAAATCATTAATCCATAATTTATATTGAGTGTTCTTAACAAAAGATACATTGATGAATTCTCAATTGCCCAGTTCCCACAGAAGTTGTGACAGATTTTTTTACTGTGCCCATGTCATTACTGAATGTCACAAGGTCGAGGTTTATAGTGACAATACTGCAGATAAATTGCTCAAGCCTTTCTGTACACTTCCCCTTTTATGGACAATTCAGGCACCGGATAATGACCCCAGCTTCCTCTTGAAAGAGAGGTATTGCCTGGGGGGTGGGGAATAATTAATATTATTTTGAAACTACTCTGGCCGAATGCATTGTTTCAGTTTTACCCACTCATTCTGCAACCTGGGTTTTCTGATACACTAGGAATCCGTTATTTTATTTTATTTTTAAGATTTAGAGATGCTCTGGATATTGTACATATTAAGTTAATATTGCTTTCTTTTTCGTCCCTACCTTCAGTTCATTAAATTTTATCAAAATCATAGTCCTGGGTATGACAATAAACTACATCCAGCAGCAAGGCCTCTGATTTGGAGATTTTGAGGAGTGTGAAAAAACCACCTCTTAATTGCTGTTGTCCCCAGGTCCACCCAGACCTGTGGTGGTAGCACCTGCTAGGGTCCCAGCTATGGGCAAATAGTGAGACCCTAAACAAAAACAAAACATGAAAATACATATTCATAATAAAATGACTAACAATACATTTTATCTGCAGTTGAAGGCATGTAGCTGCTTTCAAAATATATTTAGATTTCAACATTAAATAACCCATAAAAGCTGATATGCCACTAAACAAAATCAACTAATCAAACAACGAATATGAAAGAACTTTTTCATGACATTAATATCCTACAATTTCTTAAAGAAACCATACTGTATTCCAAAATATAACTTCAACAAAACTACAACATAAAAACACACATATTGTCTCTAGTAATTATGTCCACACAAACAGATATATGCAGAAAAGCTGTGTATCATCTACCATGTACTCAATTGTGAAAGCAGAATAACATTATATTTTTATTACTTCAAAGCTCTCAAAAAAACTTTATTTTAACATTAAATGACCCATAAGAAGTTGATATTCCATTAAACAAAAAACAATCATCAAAATTGTTTTTATTTTACATTATTTTGGGCTTAATTCCTTGTCAAAATAGCAGTTGAGAAATCTTCAATTTCTATCCTTTTTATGCTATTGCTGCATTGCTCCTAGTCTGACTAAATGCAGTGGCAACCAAAATTTATACATGTAAATGACTAGTACAAGGAAATGGAATAAATTTCAACAAGGCAATATTTTATATTTCTGTTTTTATATAACTGAGTACCTAAGAGGAAAGATATCCCCATTCCCAGGACAAGGTCCTAGTGGTGTTGTCACTTCCTACTGCATGCTAGAAGGAGAAGAGGGGAATTGTACCATATTTTATAGCTGCTTAACGATGTATTGGTAAAACTAAATGGGGGTAACCCACAATATACAGAGCTTTATTTCAGTATAAATATTTCTCTTCAATGAAACAAATTAAATCTAAGAAATCAACATTTTCAAATTGTCAAAGAATAACGTCTTCGAATAGTCTTATAGAAAGTGATAGTTTTCTCATGTCACCATTTCTATATAATGTTTCTCCTAATCAGAACAAAAGTTCTAATCTATTTTAGCAAACTCATTATTAATAATAATTCAACTCATTACAGAAATATGCTAGCAAATACATGATAGCTTCAATAGATAGTATTGACATTTTTTTTAGTTATTCACTAGAATTTTATAAGCTGCCTAACATTAATCTTAATTTTTTTTTTTTTTTTTTTTTTCTCTCTTCAAGTCTCTCATTATTGCACACCAATTGGGATGTTGAGGATAACACTGACCCCAATGAAAAGAAAAAATACTACATTAATGTGTGTCGACCTTTGTCCCACATTGCTGTGGGACATGGCTGCAATACACTTGCTGGTGTCTGTGTCACTAAATTTGTTGATGGAAAGGTAAGATTTTTTTCTCCCTGAATACAAAATGGCATTTTCTCGATATTTTCTACTTATTTTTTTTTTTAATTACTGAAATGTCACAGATATTGCAATTCATTACATTCTGTCTTATTTTTCTTTAAAATTCATTAAAATTTTATTCTCTACTAAATCTAAGTCGTGCGAAAACAAAAAATCTAGTTCGTAGGAATAGCAAGTTATAATAGGTGCAAAATAATAAGACTCAACAAATGCATAAAATTTTTAAAGAACAAACATTTATTATACAAGTTTGAAAAATGTACAAATACAAAGATTATACAAAAATTTGCTTTTGTGTGCCTATTAAGTCAGGATAACAATTTCTGATAAAAAGGATTGCCATTGAAAAATAGAAAAATTATGATTTCAGTTTAGGGAAAGACAAAAGGATTCAATGACAAAAAGAGGAAACAATTTAAGAAGTCAGAAAAAACAAAGGTGTAACCACCTTTCCGAAAAACCTAAAACACTTACCTGCCCTACAAGCATCTCTGCAACATATGGTTATGTTTGAAAAGTCCCTTTTTAAATTCACACTTTTCGTGCTTGGGAAAATTTCTTTGAATTCTTTTCATTCTTTGTTGTCCAACTTCAAAATTCTTTAGTCTTTCTGCAGCTGACTGGTAACCTTGTGCTTTCTTGATGTCAAATCCTTACTGTCAAAAAGTCTTCTCCTCACATCTACTGACCTTATTTATCTGGAAAATTAGGCTCACAAGGCCCTGCATTCGGGTTCTTATTCTGGCTTCAGACCACTTCTCTCATTGGTCAGTATATACAAAAAAATAATTTTCCATAAACTTGAAATGGATCCTTCACACATTTTGGCAGCTTTTAACCACCAAGACAAAAATGATATACAAGTGTAACAATTTTTTATTTTTACACAAACTGTCTGGCTTTCATAAAAATACACTTCTGTCAAAAGAATATGTATAAAAAACACAGCCTAGACAATTATACATTTATTCTAGGCTAACGTTTTTAAAGTACTAAAATAAAATGTTTATAATTTAAATATAAAAAAACTGAGAAATTTAGTTACTTCAAGCTGTTACACATGTCAGCATGCTTGATTTATTTTCTTTTAATTAATATGTAATTAGATAGAAATCATAAAGCTAAAATATGTTTATTAATTGGCCTTACAAGCTTTTTAGTACATTACTAAATTAATTTTCTCTTTTACTTGATCCATTACTGATAGTTAAAGAGAAAGTTTCAATTTGAATTATTTACACTAATATTTGGACTATTGGCCTCATTTTGTTATCACAACATTCCAGCTGTTATGCCCTACAGACTTCATTAGGTGTATGTCGATCTGGGTAATCTACAAGGAATTCTGAACAAAACTTTTTATTTAATCTACAGGAGTAGACTTTGTTTTCTTTTTAATCATTTCACCTCAAGCACAGTGGTAATGCCACTAAGTATGCAAGGGGGTTACAAAAAATGAAAGTGATAGAAAAAACTGAGAATAGGGAGGATTGAGAAAAGGACAAAAGCTGACAAAAGAAGATAGATGTTGATTGATGTTACATTCAAATTTTTGAAGTTATTAGGGAAACAAGTAAACAGAATGGATTTCCACAGGTGGAAAGTATGAGAAAAGAAACTGTTGGAGTAGAAGTGGTGGTTGCATTTAGTTTTTTCAACATCAAAAGGGTGGGACCTAGATGCTAGTCTAGTAGCACGCTTAAATTGATGTATTCGATTTGAACACCAGGGGAGAAAAAAGCTCCTCGGGGCAGTTGCCATGGTAACATTTAAAGAAAAGACAGAGGAAAAACATTTCACATTGGTGAGAAAGTGATTGAAATTGAGATGCCTGGTCAAGATTGATTACAGATCCTCCTTTGAATTTTGTCAAAAATCTTGAGATATACAGCAAAAACACCAGACCAGATATGGCAAAAGTATTCAATGCACACACAAAGGATTTATAAATGTGTAAGATGGATTCTGACAAGAAAAATGTTTTGGCATCTGGAATTATCTTAATAAATAAATGTTTTCTATTAAATTATCAAAATGGTTTAATTCTTTTTTGATATGATAAAGTGATTTGTTTCCATTCTGAGATTGAGACAAAAATAAGCAAAATAGTTTTCTAAAGATTACCTGCTTTTATAGAACTGGTTCCTGGAAATTTATGATATTATTATTATTGCCTACAGGAGATTTTACACTGAATCCTTTATTCAATCTGCAGAAGTAGATTGTTTACATTCTATTATCCATGACTAGGGATTATTGCATCTTTGGTTAATTGTCCTTTTTAGTACAACTCTGTTATTTCTAGTCCTGTTTCCAATGTCTGAGTATTTTCTTACCCAGGGATTGAACTTGTAATTACAATTAAGTAATTGTGACTTCAATCCTTGAGCTGGGTAATACAGATATATTTCTAGTCAATGGAAACTTAACAAGCAATAACTCAGCAATGCCAAAAAGGACAATTAAGCAAAGATCAGATATGTCATGCAGAACAGAATGAAATCAATCAATCTCTCTAGCTTGAATAAAGGGTTCCGTTCAAAATTTTCTGAATGAAACGAGAACATAATGCTAACAACAAGGATGAGGATATTAGTTTGACTGTAGATTGTGTAAATAATCATTTCTCAACCCAGGAATTCAAACCAAAACAATCATGCCATTTCAAAAGGAAAAGCAAGTTTGATTTTTTTCATAATGTATGATGATAAAAAATGAAGTTTAACAATAGCTTCTCTTATTTTTCTTTTCTTACTTTTTTTTTTCTTAAGGAATTAAATTTCTGTAACATGCAGGTTGCTTTTGTTCTATTTCTTATCCAGATACATTCCTTAGTCTCACCAGCTAGGGCCAACCATGCTGTGTTCATGATGACAAACTATCCCCCATTCCCTTTGATAAAAAGTGAGTTCCACTCAAACAGCTACTTTCCCAGAATTGTTACTTTGAAGAACAAGCTCCCGAGAGGATGCTTCCTAAAAATTACAATTTTGGTCTAAGTCCAAGGTCAACTAATATTTATCCTACTCAGCTTCATAATATTCCCTTACCTCCCCAGCTTCCCTTACAACAATCTTACTCAGTAACGCTCTACCACTGCCCTACCCTTATAACAATCTCATACCCAGTAACCCTCTACTTCGCTCCTTCCCTTATGACAATCTCTTACCCAGTAACCTTGTTATGAGTCTGATAAAGGAGGAAATTTTAAAAACTAAATAGTTTCTTTTTTGACTTTTTCTTATTGCTCATGTTTTTCAATTATCTCCTGTAGGAAGTGGTTGAAAATGAAAACTTGGGTCAGATAACTTCTGGCCCTAAACTGGTTGAGAAATCAAGTGATCTGATACTCAGATATACAAATGGCAAACAATGCATTGACTCTGATAACCAAACCACCAACTACTCCACTACAATTCATTTCATGTGCAAAAAGACTGACCTGGTAAGTATTGTTGTAGATGTTTGCAAATATTGTCACATACTAAATAGGTTTCAGTGACTTACTGGGGTATGACAATAAACTACATCTGGCAACAATGCCTGTGATTGGAGGTTTTGAGGAGTGTGGAAACACTTTTTAATTGCTGTTGTTCCCAGGTCCACCCTAACCCAGGGTGGTAGCACTTGTTAGGGACCTTGCTATGGGCAAATAGGGAACTCACAAACAAAAGACTATGAAAGTATAAAAATGTATTTTTATAGTAAAAAATACCAGCATCAAAATAATACCTATTTATAGCAAAATGACCGACAATACTTATTTATCTGTAGTTGAAGATTGTGTACAAAATATTTAGATTTTGGCATTAAATAATCCATGGAGGCTGATATACCACTAAACAAAATCAACCAACCAATGACTTACTGATTAGAACCACCTGGCAATTTGATTTCAAAAGAATGGCAGTGGATTTTAATAACCTCAGAGACATGAAATTGGGATTGTTTTTATTATTAGCTGTATTTTTTTATATTTTTTTTGTTAATATTTTAATATACACATACATGCAGTTTTTACTTGCTTATTATTATAAGTAGAGTTTATTAAACAAATACTTCAAAAATTTCATTCACTGATATCTAGTGACACAGCAAATACTAAAAGCAGATATAGGAAATAAACAGATCCCAAAATTTCCATTAGTACATTTAGTAGGTGTACAGGTATATAAGAAATCTTTTAAAAAAGTTATTCATTTACTAGTTATCCACCCTCTGAGAAAAATTAGCCAAAATTCGTGTCTACCTAAAAAGTACAAAGATTACAATTTTAGCCCTGTATCCCCTCACAGAAGAAAATTTGTTTGAACAAATTTCAGCATTGAATATGTATGAAAATCAAAAAAGATTATTAGTAACCAACAATTAAGGCAAGTGTTACTGACAGAATAGGCCTATCATATATTCTTTGCTAATGAACTTATTACATAAATCCATTAAAAATTGAGGTGAGGGTGATTGTCAGGAAATAATATAATAATTACTGACAGAATAGGACTATTAAAGTTATAATGTAAAATGCATTATTAATGCTTTTACTATAGAAATGAATTTAAAATCGGGGCAAATGTGATTCTCTGTAACTAAGAATTAAAGCAAGTATTAGTGACTAAATAAAGTGGTTATATGTATACTAATACATAAAAATTTCAGATAGAGTATATCTGTAAAAGGACAACATGAATAAAAACAAAAGGAAAACTTAGCTGATGTGTTTCATTCTCTGAGGGACTTTATCAAGGTAAGTGCAAGGATTTTATTTAAATACTTGTTACAAAATAAAATGCTTACATTTGCCTTGATAAAGTCTTTCAGATGATGAAACGAATCAGCTAAGTTTTCCTTTTGTTTTTATTCATGTATACTAATACGTGGAGAGTGGGTTAGACTTCATGCCACAAACAGAAGTTGAATGTTGGTGGACAGCAATAAGCAAAACAAAGACTTGATTAGAAAATGTATGGCCAATGTTAAATTGATGCATGTAGGATGCAGAGGCATAGAGAATGTTGGCCTCAGGTCAGCATGACATTGAATGAAGGTGACTGTATCTTCTTTTTGTTGAGATAGCTAATAGACATGTTTGAACTCAATGGTTGGAAAGTGTGAAAAGAGCAATCATTTCTTTTCTAGAAGTGGGGTCATAAAATTTATGTGACCAGAAACCCATTTTGATTTCCTTTTGCATTATGGGAAAATAATTTTTTTATTTTTTTTTTATTTTATTTATTAGATTATTTTCATTCTCTCACAAATATATTCAAAACTAGCTTAAAAGCCACCCTATTGCATTTAAGCTAGCTCCTGCAGAGGGCTCTTGATTTGACCTTCAACCCAACAATGGCACTGATTGAGTACATATTAAATTTTATAAAACTTGAATACTATTTCTCAAACAGTTTTTCATGTCTTATTTGGAACTTATTACAAAGCTGCATGATAAACAACATTTTAGGTTTTCCCAATCAGTCAGTACAAATAACTTGTTTTTATTCCTAACCCTTGAATAACCAACATAGAGCTGGCCATGACAAAAGCAGGGTTCCATCAGATGAAGTCCAGTTACTTTCAATGATTGTCTTTGGGACTTATTGATTGACATTGCATAGCTCGCTCTCACTGGAAACTGAAGTCAAAAGGAAAATCTGAAGGAATTAACGGATTCTTTCCTGGACCAGTAAGGATCTCTGCTTCTAAGAGATGAGGAAACATCTTGACAATTAACCTTGTTCAATTACAAAGCTTGGGAGGATCATGGCATGACTGGTACATTTTCTTTGAGTTCCAGCTTGTGTGATGGCATTCCAGGAGGATTGAAGGAGTTCAGGAACTCTATTGGATAATTCACTACATGCTCTTGTTCAACCACAGTGTCAGTGGAAAAGTACTTCATGCTTTCTTTTAGAATTTCTTGGAGGTATTTCCAGTTGATGCTATCCACAGTTTGATTCTTGGGAGCTGATATGGCAATATCACAAAGCCAGTTTGAATCCATGAAATGGTGTTTAATGTTTGAATAAACTTGGTTAATAAAGTCTTGGATACTTAAGACTGAAACTCTACAACCATTTGGGAGTGAAAGATCTCCATTTTGGTGGTTTCATTGCAAAGCTGCAACAGCAAAGCAGCAAATCTTTCTGCTTCAAAGTCACCTGTGATTCTCTCATGTTTGTTTTCAGGCAGTCTTTGAACATGGCTCCAGATGTCAGAATTTTTCAAAGTTGTGTCCCTTTAATTAAAAAAAAAGCAATGCAAACATTTTTGCATTTATTATATAAAGAAGTCATTTATGAAAAATATAATTTTTTACTCCTTCTTTGCTTTTCTCGGTTTTTCTGACAAACAAGTTTTCTCTTTTAGTAACTTTCTCTTTGAATCTTTTTGTTTCAGTCAAATGGTCCACGATTTTTGAACATTGAGAATAATTGTGAATATGTCTTTTTGTGGGAAACAGAATTTGCTTGTGCTGAAACAAATACTGAATCTCGTGAAGATTGCACAATCAAAGATCCAAATTCTAACTATGTCTTCAATCTCCAACCTTTGATTAAGAAGTCTGGTGGCTATGAAGTTAAAGTTAATACTAGAAAACTTTTGGTAAGTATTCTGTCAACTTTTCTTTATTTCAGTTGACTTTACTTTTGGAAACAAAAGCCCTATCATTTACCTGACCTCATTTAGTGAAAATCATCATTGCTCCAGAAATAGGAAACTAATAATTTCTGCAATTATTATGTAACATTTTCAGAAATAAATTTAAAGAATTAATTGAAGTGTGTACCTCAATGTTCTGATTTCTTTTAAATTCTTTTATTTATTTGCTTTATGTTTACAGATTAATATCTGTGCCCCTTTAGCTGATACAGCTTGTGCAAAAAAACTTAATGAATCAGCAGTGTGTGAAATTCAGCTTAACCGAAGTGTAGCTCTGGCTTCTTACAGCTCCAAGCTGCAATTAACTGATGGACATCTGCGATTGTCCTACAGAGGACGTAAATTCATATCGGGTAAGTTATAGAAGATGCTTTATACTAAAACTGTCCTCCTATCTACATGGAAAAATTTGAAAGAATAAACTCTTTTCTTCTTGTCCCACTTAACAACAGATTGAAAGTCATTTTTGAGATCAGCTGCCAATTTAACTTTATCAAACCTATTGGACTTATCATAGAACAATTACAATCAAGTAGCAAATTCAGTCATCACTGGTGCCTCATATTTCCATCCTTGTGCAATATTTAAGCTACACTTACAAAATCACAATTTTTAGTTGCTATCTTGAAGGAATGCTTTGTCTTCAAGTATGGCATAATTGTTTGAAACTTTTTATACATATTGTCCATAACCATATGTAATACTGCTAGAATCAATAATAAATTTGCATGAAGTTAGATAATAAGTTTGTAGCCTGTCACTAAATCATTACAGTGAAAATTTCAGGTTGGAATTTAGTTAATAACTGAATTTTAATGTGAAATTTTCTCTTTATAATGTGTGTTGTGGAGCCCAGTTATACAAATACTTTGTGTATTTGATCTATGAAATTCACCAGAGAGTCAAGTGATTTGACAAGGAAAGAGATTGTTGAAAATAAATATTTGTTTTATAAAATACTTTTCTTCATTAGACTACAAAGTTACTGATTTCTCTACATATCTGTTTAATACATAGAAAATGTAGCTTATTTGTTGATATATATATATATATATATATATATATATTCAGTAAATCAAGGAAAGTTTAAGTGACTTACCTTGTTAGCAAACTCCAGTTTTGCATCAAAACGCTCATTAGGGCCAGATTTATCAAACATCTAGCCTTGATGTGCATTTGAGTTTACTAACAAAATAAGTAACTTGGTCATTACTTGATTTATTATAATTCTAGTTATCTTAATAACTTTTTGTCAGAAGTTCTGTTCAGCTGAAAAATATGTTAAATTCTTGTAATTTTAACATTTTTTTTTTTCAGTTGTATTATCATTATTGTTATATGATGGGATGAGGAACAAATAGGAAATGTCTATAAATCTCACACAAATACACATTATAATCCTGCATAGACAAACTAGAATTATGATACACATATGAATTATACACATGAACAATTCTCAACAAAACTGATGCATGGAAGTTTGCTAAACCAATGAAAAACAAGTTTAAAAATTTTCTTTTTCTCTTAAATTTCATTCTCTGATGAAACTTTAATAAAAATGAAACATGTTAAATTTATAAACATTTCTAATTTGTTCCTTATCCTACCCTTGCCATATTTGACCTATGCTTGATCCCAATACACACACATATATATATATATATATATATATATATAATCAGTAATTTTGAATATTATGATAATCTTATAATAACTTGTCTCTCCCTTCATTAGTTTGCACAACTGTTATGCCCTCTTAATACCTCATAAATAATGGACTATTCTGTTTTGATCACATGGAAAGAGGGAAAAAATACTACTTGATTTTGGTGAGAAAATGAAAGAAAGGAAGTTAGAAATGTTTAGAATCTCCTGCCAATACCTCATAAACAATGGACTATTCCATTTTGATTCCATTAAAAAACAAGTGACATACACTACTTGGTTTTAGTGAGAAAATGAATGAAAGTATGAAAGGGAAGATAAAAGTAATGGAAAAAGTTGTCAATTTCAAATTTTTTTTCATTTGTAACCCACTTCTTAAAATAATGACCAGCATTCATATTTATGATTGTTATTGCAATATTTTGTTAACATTGTTAAGCTCAAATATTTAACGATGTGAAATTTCTATGGATATTTTATATAAAAGTTGCCATGAGCTTATTCAATCATTAACTTAAGAATTAAGATTCATCAGAAAATTCAAATAGGAAAACCATGAAATTTTCACAAGTCTTTCTAGTTTTAAATAATTGTTGGTAGAATTTACTGAGTTTATGTTGAGTATTTTTATGTAAATAGTTTTATAAGATTCAGATAAATGTGTTCATATTATAAAATGCTGTTAAACAAAAATTAGGATAGTTTTTAGTATAAAACAGATTTGGTATTTGCTTGATACCAATAACATGAACTAATAAATAAAAATAAGTAAATAATCAGTAATTTTTAACATTATGCCCTAAGTGTGTCTCATTATGAATTATATGATCATTAGTATTGTTTTTTTTTTTTTTTTTTTTTTTTTTTTTTTGGTGGGAGGGTCCCCCATTAATACCTTTTATCACAATGAAATTATAAAAATATAAAATCAAATGATGTAACTTTGAGATCATATGATAACATTTTTTTAGCATAGAACAAATGTGAAATTTGGAGTCTATAATTACTATTTTTTGTAGCATATATAAATATGAAATCAGTTAATGAATTCAATAGATTTATCTGACCCTGATGAGCAGCTATTCCACATAACTTAAATTGCTTTGAAAGTTTTTTTTTCATCTGTTAACTATGTACTGAATACAGCCAGATTCTTTGAATACTGATCTTATAAATCAAGGATTGTGAGTTGGAATGTTAGGTATCAGATTCAGCCATTTTATTAATTTTATTAATTATATATTTATTTATATTTTCACTCTGATTTGTTGTTTTGAGAGAAAGGAAATTTCATAAGGTTTCTGGCGTGCGCACACACACACACATATATATATATATATATATATATATATATATATATACACACAGACACACACTGTGCTTAGCTCTATTATAGTTCAAATACTGTACTTTAAAATGTATAATTTTTGTTTTTGTTATTTTGCTTTTTACATTGAATAAATAGTTTTACTTTAAATTCTCTCTTGAACTGTTCAGGCGATGTCTTCCAAGTTATAATCATTTTTGTTTGTGATCCTGAACACGATCTTGGCACTATCAGCTTTATAAACGTGACCCAACAGCTGTATACATTCCAGTTTGCCACTGCTCTGGCATGTGCTCCTCGTCCTGTTGACTGTATTGTTCAAGACCAGAAAGGGGGTCAGTATGATCTGACTCCATTGGCCTTGCCAGATACCAATTGGGAAACCACTGTGAAAGGCACAAAATATATCATCAATGTATGTCGGCCAGTCAATAAAAAGGATGACATTTCATGTGCAGGTAAGAATTCTGATAAATTTTCAATATTTTTAATTCCCTAGTTTCTACATACTGTTTACAGAAATCTTGTATGTAATTAGCAAAGTTAACAAATTGCAACTTTCCAGGTAATTCCTAATTCCTGGAAGTGAAGCCAGAGAGTACATTGACTGAAAATGTTGTGACTACAACAACCTATATGAGGAACACCAATAAAAGTAAATCAAATTTTAGTTTACATCTCATGAGATGTATCAGTAAGTCTTCCTATTAAATATGAGCCAGTAATTTTTCTTCTATTCTAACATTAAACAGAACTAAATTTTTCACGTAAATTCATTTTATGCACTGAATTACATTTTATTCTCTGACTTCTTAATGAATTAAAAACAAACTTCTGTTTACACATGACTTATTTCTGTCATCAATATCACTGGTTTACAATTTTTCACAAATTGACTACTTCATAAATGAAATGTGCCAATTTTTATCTATTTTGGCATGCTGAATTCAAAAATGACCTTTAAATTAGATGATTGGCTTTAGATTTAGAGATATTTAGTCAGTTATGTCATACACGTGACTACAATGGATGTCTCCAAGAAAAACAATGTTGTTTTTCAAAATCTGCTTTGATGGTCTGTTCTGTTCCTTGTAAGCTACCATAAACACATCAAGATGGCAATATATGTGTGTTTATTGGATAAAATATAATTGGAAAACTCTTCAGAAGTATAGACATGAACAGTTATTCAGCAGTTACATGTTGCTTCTTGGTTTGTCTTTTGTAAAATGCAGAAGAACCATCTCTAGTCACAGTCCAACAATAATCAGCCAGCTGTGTTGGACACCACCTGCCCATTTTTTTTTTTTTTGCTCACCCTGACAAAGGCCTCATGAGACACTCGGAGTAGAGGGTTATATTAAGAGGCAGTTTATGCACATAGAAGAGGAAGATAGCGGTTAACCCTAAACTTGAACAGATTGAGGTTGTAATGATTGAGGAAACATTTTCTTGGGAGTTCATTCCACAGAGTAGTGGCTCACAGGAAGAAGTTGTTTGAGTGGAACTAACTTCTCACCAATAGAACATGGAGGGAATGTCAGTGGTATGGTGGGTCCTAGCCATGAACATTTGAACTGGCAGAACCAAGGAATGTAGTTTTTCCAAGTACTTTCCATTGATAGAGCAGCGAGAGGTTTGCCATATCCTGCCAGTGAGAGAGAGGTTGGAGAGTGAAAAATAATTTGTCAACCAGAAGGACTCTGAGACACTTTTGGGCTCTATGGAGACTGGAAAGTGAGGACTAGCAGCATCTGCTCAAATATAACAACTGTACTCCCATTTTAGGCTTGTAAAGGTAGAGGATAGTGTGTGGAATCCGTTGCTTCCTGGAACGATACAGGAGCTAACCATTTTTCCTGTATCTTTTATGATGTATCATATCTACAAGTTCCACTTGAGATCAGGTTTGGATTTATGGCCAAATAGTCTCTCAAGGCACAGAGCTTTTTGAAGGGAATATCCATTCATGGAGATTAGTGGCAGTTCGGGGTCTGTTCAGTGATGGTGGAATATAACTAGTTTGGTTTTCAAGGCAATGAATGTAGCCAGTCAGTTTTTCCTCCACTGAGAACTTAGTGCTAGATTGAATTAGACATCAGCTTCCAATCTCTGATCATCAAGAGTTTTAGAGGTGCACCCATATATAGCTGTATCATTGGCATAGATGTTCACAATCTAGTTATGTTCTTAAGCAAATCATTTATGTAAAGCAAAAAGAGAGTTGTTCCAAGAAGTAACCCTGGGGGATGCATGCATTGATCGCCAGGTCCCCTGAAGACTGGCTGTTGATAAGTACCTTCAGAGACCTACCCATTAGGATGGACTTTATAATTGAGATTTCCATCCAGTGATTTCATAGCTGGACAGCTTGAGTAGCAAACCTTTGTGCCACACCTTGTCAAATGTCTTCAAAATATCTGCTATGGTCGTCGAGATGTTTGTTGAGTCTCACTAATTCTATGAGTAATTAGGACATTAGCAGTGGATTGGGCCAATTGAAAGTCATACTGCTCGTCACTCAAGAGATTGCTCTTATCTAGGTTCTCAATGACCATCTTGTTGATTATAGCATCAAAAAGCTTACTGATGACACTGATGGATCTCTACTTCACTAGGATTGGGGATAGTTGTGGGTTGATATTCTTAAGAACAACCACTAGAATTTTGTCTGGGTCAGTGGCTTTCTTAGGGTCAAGGCTTTTGATAAGCTTTGAAACCTCCCATGCTGTAATGAAAATATTACTGAGATTGTGCTCAGTGAAACATGGGAAGTTGAGAAGGGGATGGCCTTTGTCATCTAACATTAAGTTCAAGGTAAAGATTGAGGCAAAGAGCTTCACCTTGTTTGTTGAGGAAGATATAACCTCAAGGCCATTTATAATAGTGGGCACAGCCTCTTTGCCTCTGTTCATAATTTGGTTGGTGATCTTCCAGAATTCACTGGATCCAATTTGTTTCTTTTCAACCTTAGCCTGGAGCTCTTGTGCATAGCTACACTTTGCTTCCTCCAGAACTTTCTTGCAGTGATTACAGGTCTTCTGAATGCAATAAGTGTCAAACTACACTTCTCCTTGTGATAGATATTGAAATGAGCTATAGCTGCAGTGCATTCAGTGGTGAATCAGGGCTGGGTTTTTGCAGGTGGGGAGGGTCATATATAATTCTCCATTCCAAAAAGGATCTATTCAGAGACAAGGACAGCAGGTTTGGAGGCAGCATGCTTGAAGAAGGTTGAGAGAAGAGCTTCTATCTTATAAGATCAAAAGCTATCCCAGTCTGCCTTCATGTAGCAAAAAATTGTTCTATGGAACAGCAAATCAATCTGGACACTGACTAGGGGATGATCTGACATGTCTATGGGGGTAAAACTTTAGCTAAGTATTTATCAGCATAGCATGTTAGAAAGAGGTCAAGGAGGTTTGTCTGATGTCCTGTTATGTCAGGGATGCAGGTGGTCTGGGCTAGTTCATAAGTGATGGAGAAGTCTCAGATATTTGATTGAAAATTACTGTCCTATTGTCTGGAGGGCAATAGAGAGTGAATAAATGAATGTGGTACTATGGATAAGTGCCATGCAGAAGTACATATATGAAAGATCAGTGTCCTCATTTTATGCATCTCTGCCACAGGGAAACCCATCCTTGTTGTATACTCTGATTCCATGGACGTGGCAACTTAGGTAGTCATGTTTGGCTATTAGGGGTTAGTAATGCAGGATAGTGAGCTCCTTTAGTGGGATTGAGGCATTGATACCTATTTCAGACAGAAACAGGAGGTTGGATTTGGATTCAAGAAAATGGTATTCCACTTCTGGGAAGTTGGAACATAAATCCCACACATTGGTATAGGAGATTTTATACCTGGAGTCTACTTTTTTATTTTTTTATTTGAGTTTGGGTTTGCTAGTTTTGTTCATTTTGATTTCATGTGTGTATTGTATTTTGGTTGGTAGAAGTCTAGTAGGCAGTGAGATATGTACACCCACAGGAGATGCATGCATAAATAACCTAGATTGAATTGTCAGAGACATAGATGTAAGAGTATCCTTCATCATGGCATCAAAAGGCCTCACCAGAGACTACTGCATGGTCCAGAAACCATTCACAAAATGGCAGTACAATAGCCCCAATATTATACACCTGCTGACAGGAGAGCCTCCTTTGAAGTTAATTAAAGGTTTGGATCCCTGACTATCAGGCAGATAATGCCAAAACCTAGAAAATCTCTAACCCTTAATGAAAGGACAAATAACCCAGGAAAGAAGATCCAGGCATCATACCCTGAGTGTACATGTCTCATCCACTCAGAAGTCAAAACAATAGAACTCCTCCTTGGATCAGAAACATTGCAGCAGCCAGAGACCTAAGGTACCAAGTCAAGCTCACTCATATACATGAAGACTAAAAGACACATTAAGAGAAGGTGGAGTAACTAAGGTTGCTCAGGTATGTGTATTTTACCTTTTCTCCGATACTGCAATGTCTTGATGAAATTATTGACCATGCTTGTTATTCACAGACTACAGATTTGGGAGGGAAAAATCAAGGTGCATGTCTAAGATATGTTACAACCAAGATGTTTGTATGCCTTCAAGAGGTCTCCTACCAGTTTTCTGTAATTCTCTGCTCTTTCATTACCCAGAAAGTTGGTTGCAACTGACTTTAAAACTCTCCATACAGCTTTTACCTTTCCCCATAATAGGCTGTCAAAATTTTCATCCAAAAGCAGTTTACTAATCTGGGAACCAACAAAAATACCTTCCTTTATCTTTCCTTCACTTATCCTGGGAAATTTTACTGCATGTACTTGAACGATGCTTTTGTTTTGTCCACAGCTGTCTCAAAATGTTTCATAAGACCAAGCTTGATATGAAGAGGTGGCCACAATATTTTCTTTGACTCAACTCGTGGTGAAAGCTGAACACTTTTCCTCCCAAGTTCCAGATTGTTGTAGTGATTGTCTTGGTGTAATGAGAACTTCTGTCTTGACTGTGACCCATTCACAAAGAAAACAACAGTATTTAGTATAGCCACCTTGTAGTCCTAGAAAGAGAGCAACAATCTTCAAATCTCCACAAACTTGCCAGTTATGTTAATCACAGTTGATACATATTATAGTTGTTTCAAATTGTTATAAGTTTCTTTTATGTGAACTGCATGACCAACTGGGATTGAAGATAAAACATTACCATTGTGTAACAAGATAGCTTTGAAACTTGTCTTTGAGGAATCAACGAACATCCTTCATTCCTCTGGATTGTAATTGATGTTAAGTGATGGCATAACACCATGGATATCATTGCAGTACACTAAATCACTATCCATAAGGAAGAATGGGACTAAATCCTTGTGATGATGACATAAATGTAAAATCTGTAAATCACCAGTTAATAGATGCCACTGCTGTAACATGGACCCTAACAATTTTACTTTAATCTTAGAAAGTTCTAAATCTTTGATTAATTCCTTTAGGTCACTTTGAGTTATCTTGTGTGGTCCAGAAATGGATGTTAGACAATAATCTTGGTAATATGAAATTGGTGGTTCAGGCTCTGGGGTTTTGACTCAATTTCATACGATTCCAGTGCCTCTGGGACTGGTACGTCTTCATTATGGAGGACAAGACACAAAACCGAGGGAATGTTTGGATATTGCACCATCTATTTCTATATCTTTGACAGTCTCTTAGCATCTGGGGGCACCATGCAGAATTAACAACCAGTGGCTTGATCAGTTGGCTCTCTCCAAATAATGAGCATTGCAAAAGGCATAATTTTTTTTCTTCCTGGTTAGCTGTTGACTGGGATTTGTTGCACAGGTATTACATCATGTGTGATGCACACTTCTTGTTTTGGTCCCCAGTTTTGCATCTAAAATATAGTTGGTATGCTTTTCTCACAACAGGTGTTATATTTTCCTTTTGAGATGCAAAAAGTCACTTTGTCACACACATAGCTGAAGTTATTGGCTTTGTTCAGACATTCACAGGCCATTTTTTACTGGTTAGTAAAATGTGTGAAAACCTGAGTTGGAAGAAGAATAATTATATATAATGAGGTTATTAAGAGAATAATAATTAATCTGGCAAGGACAACAATTTTGTTAAAATATTCATATAACACTAGTATCATGTCTTGAAATCTATAGCCAATCCACGATTTTGGCTTTTTATTTTTAGTTCTTTTCCTCTTTCACCTATAGCAATATATACTTGAGAATTGATAATATTTGGGATGAATAGTAGAATATCAAGTGAATTAAAATTTGGCTTGAAATTGGTTAATATCTCATGTTTCTACAAAATGTCCTTTGTTTTTGTTCTAAAATAGGGTTTTTCTTGTTTCTTTTTTTTACAAGGACTTGTTGGTGGTTGCCAGATAACAACTGATAAACATGCTTTTAATATGGGCTATGTTCAAGGTAAACCAATCGCCTTGTCAGATGGTACAGTCAGCATTAGGTATCGGGGTGGGGATATATGCCATTATGGAACTGATAAAGAAAGTCATCGCAGTACAAGAATTGATTTCTTTTGTTCAACTGTTGAGGTAAAATATGGTTTCATGTCATTTCTATAAAAAAATATGAAATGACTTTTTTTATTTTTATTTATTTTTTATTATTTTGCATGTAATTTATTTTAACTCCGCTAAACTTTGACCTAAACTGTTATTATATTTCCTGGGACCAAAAACATACACTACTTTTGATTTTCTAAATTTAAAAAAAAAAAAGACAAACAAAAATGAGATCACGATATTTCTACTAATCTTATCAAAATAGTTTGCATAAGAATTTATGCAGAATCTCAGGATTAGCACAATAATCACTTAATCTGCCATGAAAAAAAAAAAAATAAGTTAGCATATATATATATATATATATATATATATATATATATATATATATATATATATATATGATTTAAAGTATGCTATATTTATGGGTTAAAGTGCTCCATATCAGGATAGTGTATATAAATATAAAAGTGGACATTAAAGTCAACACTCAGCTGCAAGTCATGCTTATACGTAATCATCAAGCCATATGTGTTGTATTTTTGCTTGACTAATATATATATATATATATATATATATATATATATATATATATATATATATATATATATATTATTTATAAAAAAAAATTATAACATAAGTATGTTATATATCAGGGGTGCATTGTGGTTAGTTTATTGTATTATTCTAATAGTTGATTTGGTGGATGATAATGGTTATGCCTCAGATTATTCTAGGGGCTATTGATTGGAAACAATTGTGGATCCAGATGCAGTTTATAATATATATGTGTGTGTGTGTGAATCATATAGATTAAAATCTGACAATGATAGAATAAGGAATAAATAAATACAGTTCCCATGTTTTTGTCTTATGGTGTTAGTGTGTGTTTGTGCACATAGTCATTTTTGTGTCTGGTAATATCCATGTGTTTAATTCCTGAAGATCCGTAGTAGGAGGAAGACATACCTGAATTTGTGTGTATATCATATTTCTAGTTGCTATTTCAGAAGTTGATGGTGTCAGTATGTGTGTTTGTTGTTGGTTAAATGTATGTTGTTAGTGTTGAGCTAAAGTATATGGTTGAGGAAAAAAAAATCATGTGTATCAAGAAAATTCAAAATATGTAGGAGTGTATTTTAGTTCTATTATAGATATTGTTATTATATATGACTTTTGAGAGATATTTTGGGTTTTGAAGTTATTGACTTTGGTTACATCGTCTACAGGTATCTGGATCTTAAATTCTTTAAGTATCAGTTGTATGAATATTGGTGTATATTACACCACAAAATAAAACCTGCAAGATCGACCTGGCCAATTAAAAAAACAAACAAAGCTCAGGACATTCTCTCCTACAACTCATTTCCAAGTATTTCTGACAAAGCTTAAATAAAAGGGAAACCTGTTAAATTTATAAATGTTTTCTATTTGTTCCTTATTCTATCATTTTTTTTTATATATATATATATATATATATATATATAGCGTATTGAGGCAGAAGATCATTATTTAAACATACATTATTAAATATAACAGACAGTCTATTATGTTTGATCATGAACCATTCTAAACTTCATATGGTTGCTTTAATTTCAGGTGAAAAAAAAGACAATTTGAACAATTTTTGTCTTTATTTTCACCTGAAATTAAAGCAACCATATGAAATTTAGAATAGCTCATAATCAAACATAATAGGCATTCATTGTCTGTTATATGTAACAAAATATGTGTGTGTGTGTATATATATATATATATATATATATATATATATATATATATATATATATATATATAACAAATCGATGACTTTAGAAAATCATGGTAATATTTTATTTTGCCAGATTGATGATATTCAATTTTGCTTTATCAGACCTTAAAGTTTCAAAACAATAAATGGATTCAAAAATTCTTCCAGAAATCAACCAAAAAACAATATGAAAAACAAGATCAGCAGAAGTTGTTTTAAGATAGTTATCCAGAGTAGGGAGGGAGGTATATGTCTCTAGGAGATGCAATGATTGTAGTGTTGACCACTTATTCACCAGACAAGTAAAAGGAATAAAGAAAGAGAGAGATCAGGGAACAGAAGAGAGGAAGGGTGCTTACACAAATACCTATACCTACACATTTTTCTATATTATTTACATTATTCGGACTATTGTCCTCATTGTTGTCACCATATTTATCACAATGTTTGGTTGGAATGTCGAACTGAACCTTTTATTTTGCTCACTGGAGTAGACTGTTCTAGTTTCATATGCCATGTTTAATGGATGTCAGTTATCAGTTATCTCCTGTTAATTCCCCTCTCCAAGTTTCTCCAACGCCTTTATCCACTGTGCCATGTGTCCTTGCGGACTGTGTATGAATTTCTGGGTATTATAAACCTAATGTTATCAGCAACTATTTTTTTTACCAGTGCTTATATTGCAATTTTTGCTGTTATCATTGCATGCTTTTACCAGAACTCATATTGCAATTTTTGTTGTTGTTATCGCTTTTCTCTGGCACTCCTTAATACTGCACAGGATAGCGTACACACAGTCCTTAGTCATGTTCTCCTCTGGGCGGGGGTCTTACTCAGGAGAGATATCTGCAAAGTGTCGTCCAGCTTTTAAAGGTTGTCCTGATGTTATATTGACCACAGATCCTTTGTATTTTCTGATAACCCCTTCACATAAGGCTGGCAAACTGTTTTCTGAGTGTTGTTGTCCTCTTCTTGTATCCGCCTATCCTAGTTTTTTGGGGCTGCAGCCATGTACCCAGGGCAATTGTTACATTGTAGGGTACTACTGACCAATTCTTTATCTAATGTCTCTAGGTTGCCACTTATGACTTTTGCTCGGTGTTGTAAGCAGCGGGCGATCTCTTTCTTTACACTGTATGGATGGTGAGAGTTGAAATTGAGGTACTATCCAGTGAATGTCGGTTTACAGTATACAGATGTCTTGAACCCATGCTCTGTTCAAGATATTAAAACATCCAGGAATGGGAGTGTGTTGTTACTCTCTTTCTCCATTGTGAACTGTATCGAAGGTCTTATTGAGTTCACATGGTCCACTAGAACCTGAACATCTTTCTAGTGTTGCCAGATTATGAAGGTGTCATCTACATACCTTAACCATAGTTGGCTTTAGAGATATAGATTCTAATGCCATTTCCTCAAAGTATTCCATGTATATATTCACCATCGCTTGTGATAATGGTGAGCCCATTGCTGTCGATATGTGTGATCCCATTCCAAAGTGTGTTGTTTGTGTGCAGTAAGTCAACATCTCCATCAGCTTATCTATTGGAATACTGGTCCATTCTTCTAGGGATGAATCAGAGACCAATCTGTCTCTGACTACTGATAGTGCCTCCTCCGTGGGTACCTTGATGAACAAACTCACCATGTCCAAGCTCAGCATCTGGTTGGATAGGATGGGAGCATCTTTGATTATTTCCACAAAGTGGGTGGAGTTCCAGACATATGAAAGACTTTCCGATCAATGGGTCAATTATATCTACAAGGAAGCGACTCAGAGGGTGGCGCACACAGACAAGGCAACTAACAATTGGCTTGAGTGGAACACCATCTTTGTGAATATTAGGGAGACCGTATATGTGAGGTCACTTGGTATAACACTGCGATAACTGCCTATACGTCTTAGGTGCGAAGTGATCCTTGTTCTTGATTAGTATCTGGTAAAAAAAATGGTTGCTGATTACATTAGATTTATAATACCCAGAAATTCATACACAGATGTCCGCAAGGACACATGGCACAGTGGATAAAGGCGTTGGTTAGATCCAGTGACAGGAGTGTGAGTTCAATACCCAGTTAAGGCAGTGGAGAACTTTGAGAGGGGAATTAACAGGAGATAACTGATAACTGACATCCATTAAACATGGCACATGGAACTAGAACAGTCTACCCCAGTGAGCAAAATAAAGGCTTCAGTTCAACATTCCAACCACCTGAAGAAGGCCGGAGCGTACAACAGCCGAAATGTGATAAATATGGCAACAAAGATTCGGACAATTGTCCAAATAATGTACATAATACCTCATCACAGAAATATAGGCAGATACATTTTTCTATATACACATAATTACATTTATACATATCCAATTGCATCCATCTACACATGTTTTCATGTAAATGTGTTCACCCATACATATGCATACACACACATAGAAAATATAATCAATTCCCCCAACAACCATATCTTAAGAAAATTTCATGACAGAAACCTCCCTGTAGCTGTAGAGTTGGGGCTGTTTGTCCAGTGGGATGGATTTGCACTTCGGAAAATGTGGTATATGAAGCTATGAGTTTTCCAAAGGAAAATGTAAACCAGAAAACAAATTACATTGGAATTTCAGTGGGAAATTCTACAGTCACCGGCATTCCTTCAAGAATGAATCTCTAAGACAGCAGACAACTCTATCAAAACACTGTTGGGACCTTCACCCAACAATTAAAATGAAGGATCATATGTAAGGCCTGAACTCCCAACAATTTCAGGGACAGATGTGATCTATGCATCAAAGAAAAAAATTCTAATAATCAAATATGAAAACACTTACAAACTGCTTAATCAACAGAACATGCTTGTCTTCAAATACAGACATAAAAACTACTTCGGATTTCTAAAATTACATCAATTTTAAAGAAGATTAACTCAAACTTGGGTTTCAGATGTTTTACATGTATTTGTGTATGTGGATAGGTATATGTGTATAGGCATGTCTGAAGAAATGCATATATATATATGTGTGTGTGTGTGTGTATGTATGTATATGTGTATGCAGAATCCCCACCTATGATATTTCATGTAAATCCCCCTCCCTTCATCACATGTGACCTCACTTTACAAAACCCTCTTACCTGGGCATCTAACACTCACATATCTCTGTTCATGTACATGTATGCACAAGCATACTATTGTAAAATCTTTGCTTTTGTATCTGTTTTGGGCCATAGTTTTTGTATATGCAAACATGTGTGCCCCCGTCTGTATAAATAGATACAGGTGTGTATTTGTGTGCTATATGTTGTATTCTCTCATGAGTATGTGCATAGATTAAGTATTGTGTATATGTCTGGGGTCACTTGATGGAAAACACTCTTAAGTGCCCCTTTACAGCGACATGATTAGTAATGTATTTGAGGACATCTTACATGTTATCTAAATACTGATTTTAAAATTTACTAGTCAAATAAGTGCATAAGTGTTTATGAATACAAATGGATAAATATGTGAGTATGGGTGTATGTATGTATGTGTGTGTATATATATATATATATATATATATGTGTGTGTGTATGTAAATATAAGGATTTGTGTACACTCTCCGTTTTCCTCTTTCCTCTCTTCTGCTCTCTGCTTCTCCCTTTTTCTTTATTCCTTTTTCTTATCTAATGAATAAGAAGTCAACGCTACAACCATTGCATCTCCTAGAGATATATACCTTCCTCCCTCCTTCCTACTCTGTGTAACTATCTTAAAACACAACTTCAGCTAATCTTGTTTTTCATTTTGTTTTTCATTTGATTCCTGGAACAATTTTTTAATCCATTCATTGATTTGAAACCGCAAGGTCTGACGAAGTGATGTCGAATTTTATTGGTCTTGCGAAATAAAATATTACCATGGCTTTCTGAAGTCTCCAATTTGTTAATTAATTATTACTTGGTTTGTTTATTACATTGAGCTCTTGGTATTTATATCCTTCCTGAAAGTATCCAGACAGATTACTAATTAACTTTATCATATTATATATATATATATTGTAATTTTTCTTTCCTCAATTATTGTGTTCTGCTCTTTAGCAGAATTAGTTTTTCACCTCCCAAATCATAAACACCTTAGAACAGAATTTACCAGTATCATAACAAAGACTCTGCCAACCTGGTTTCACTTTACCTGTATTACAGCAACATGTTACAGCCAAAAACATAATTCATGGGCCATATATACTCTCACACACACACACACACACACACACACACACACACAATGTGTGTTCTTCTTGGCTTTGTCAGTTTAATAATGAAAGAAACCCAAAAACATTGTGAGGAAAAAACAAGGACAAGTGGACATTGTAGATCAAATTTATTACCCCAGCTTATCACCTTATGATTTAAGCTTGAAGAGAGTCTGTCTGCTTGAAGCCAAAGAGAATACATATTTTCTCTGTGACGAAATATGTCTTTGACAAAAAAAAATTTTCTACTTTCTCATTTTAACACTTTAAATTCCATATAGTGGAAAATATACTATTTTGTTTAGCCCACAATTAGACTGTAATTAGGAGTTTGTTACTCCAGTTCAAATACTCTCTATTCAGGAGTAATTAATGTCTGTTACTACTGATGTCTTTGATAACATTATAGTGATTTTCTAAGTGTAGCTTAGACGTCGCACAAGGCCGAAAGTATGGGGAACCCAGTGAGGATCGAACTCACTACTCAGTCGCAATTGATCAAGCAAGATATGTTTGCTAACCATTACACCATATTGGGCATAATCTTTAATAATATTTTGCTATGACAAAGAGTATTTTTTTTTTTTTTTTTTTTTTTAAATTAAAAACAAAACAAACTTGTTTCTAGTGACTGGTTATATTCTCAATCCACTTTCAATTGAATGTGACTGTGGCAAAGCATCAGTATTTTCCTGATTTAAAAAAGAAAAAAAAGTTATCTGGAGTCATTTAGACAATTCATTCTGAAATCATATGCAAGCTTTGGATTGTTGTAACTTTAAGTTTTTTTTTGTGTGTGTGTGTGTGTGTGTGGAAAATGTCTTTGATGCAAGAAGATCTGTTGATGACTGTTTCTGTTAAAGCCCATTGACAAAGAGGAAATGTGTTAGAGATAAGACCCATCTATTTGGCAAGACTCATAAAATAAACTCTCAAATATTGAGAAAAACAAAAATAATTGCTTAATTTTCTTCCTTTCTGGATATCACTTTAATAAGTTTTCTGGAACATTCTTTCTTTGTAGGAAGGAATCGAATTTCAAAGTGAGACTGAATATTGTGAATATGTTTTTAGCTGGAAAACTCCTGCAGCTTGTGTTGTTCGGGTAACTAAGTTTTTTTTGTTTTGTTTTTTTTCCTCTCTCTTTTTACTTTCAATTTTCTGTTATTTCTCTCTCTCTCAAAACCTCTTAATGCTACTCCAGCCATTCCAACTCTCCTTCTCTTTTGGGGGCTGCTGTGGCAGAGTATAAACTCTGCAATAATCTTTATTCACTTCACATGACTGCCCTTGGAAAAGGGTATAAATGATATAACCATTCAGACAGTTTCTTCCTAAGAGCTGTTGATTTGTGAAAGACAACTGAGAGGGTTCTTATCTGGCTACTACAATGTTAACCTTTTCAAGCCTAGGGCCAACTGTTATCTATACTACAAGGTGTCCGTAACACACAGATGAAAAGGAATATTTTCAAGAAATTAAATTTTCAACATTTTATTGAACTGGAATATTAACAAATAACATTGTCAATGTGATTTCAATCATTTGTGTTGCAAAGGTTGATGCACTTTGCAAGATTCACGTGAATTTAGTGTAATAACTCTACATTATTGTCAATTTGAGCACATTCAGTCTTTATTTGTTCAATCAAGTGTGTTGCATCTGTGATTGTCATTGAGTGCACCTTCTTCTTTAGCATACCCCAGAAAAAGAAGTCAATTCTTTCTTCTTTTGACAAAACCATGTTTAATATGGGGAGGTAAAAAAATTTGTTAATGAGATTTCCTATGTGTCCAGACTTTAGGGACACACCCTGTATATAGCCTCTCATAATCTGCAATTCTTATGTCCATAAAATAAACCCTATTAAGTAGCTCTCTACATTGAATGGCTCTTGGGCCATGTATTGGTCAAACAATAGAGTAAAAAAAAAAAAAGTATTCAAATAAAGTCATTAGTACAGTATTTTGGGAAAAAAAAAAAAAAAAAAGGATAAAATATTTTAGGTCCTCTTAGGTTTTGTAAGTTTTTATAAAGTTAGAAGAATTTTTCTTAAATTTGGCAACCGTGATTTTGGACCAAATGAAGATGGTTAGCATCTTTTTAAAACAATTTATAGTAGACTCATTTAATTGTAGTCATTTTAGATATTTAAAACCTGGGCCAGGTACTTTTGCTAGTTTTAATAAGAACTCATGATGCACACATAATTTCTAAAGTTACTCTTTGTTGTTTGTATGTAGATACATTTTGTTTTTTGCTTTTCTTTTAAATTTAATGTTTTTTCTCCTTTTTCAGCGTGTTGAAGGTGATCACTGCAAAGTCATGGATCCTCTGTATCATAATGAATTTAATTTGTCTCCTTTGCGTAACAACATCTCAGATTATGTAGTAAAGACTGACGAATATATTTTCTACATCAATGTGTGTGGAGCTCTTGTCAGTTCCCATGATTGCCCACAAGAAGGAACAGCTGCTTGTCAAACTAAACCATCTATTAATTTAAAAATGAAAACTGGTATGAATTCATGTTTTTTTTTTGTTTTTTTTTTTTTGTTTTTCTCTTGCTATGTTAATTGAGTTTTATATAGATTCTTAATTTTTTCTTGATTTAAGTCAAAATTTTATAATTTATTGTTCTTTCTATAATTATTTTATGCTTTTATTTACATTATTGCTTTCTAAAAATGTGTAATTTTATAAATGTCTAATTAAAATATCAATTGATTTAGTTATAATTTTAAATTATTTCAATAGATTTTGAAATGATTTGATAGTGTGAACATTTTTATCTTGTTTTGATAATGTCTAGATCACCTGAATTTAATTTTTTTATTTGCTATAGTTTTAAATGAATTTTATTGTAAGAGTGTTTTTAATGCAGAACCTACAAATGAGTAGTTTGGAACTTGAAGTATTTGTTTCTACAGCCCAATCATTGGTCAATTTAGAATTTGAAAATTGACAAATTTGAGGTGTATAAATTTGTCCATAATTATTCTCTCTTTTTTTTGTTCAAATAATTATATATTTTCCAAATAACCCATGAGGTATAAATTTAATATATCAATTAAGTTAAACGAATTTAAATAATTGCACTAAAAAAAAACTGGATAATTTGATAGTCACAGTATATATTTGAAGGCAAGAGAGACAAAGGGAAGCAACACGCTTGTGTAAATGGATGATGGGTTAAAAAAAAATAAAAATTGGCTAAGAGTTACAAATGATAGGAAGTTGTGGAGAGATGTTGCACCACATAAAAGAAGAAATTTAAGAATGGACTACAAGTGTATTGCATGATACATATCAGGTCATTGGGAGTTAACAGATGATGATATCAATTCGAAATCAATGATTTTTTTTCAGTATAGCATCATTTTGAAATCAATGATGTTTCAGTATGGCATCAGTTCTAAATTAATATTTGATTATATAATGATTCTTTGTATTTTATTTTCATTTAATAGTTATTGCACATGAGAAAATGATTCTCAGCATTTTGTGGGTTAAGTCCCTTTCATTTACTCAGGCGCACAACACAGTGGTTACCGTTGTTTGAACAGATGGTTTTAAACAGTTCATATTCAACACAATGTCGGTATCAGGTCACAATGCGATAGACAGCATAGTAATTGAATGTTTTAGTTTTAGTGAAGTTTGTCTTTAATTTTTAAATAAACTCAAAAATATACACATTTATTACTAAACAAAACACAAGTACCTTTTCTTTTTTCCATGAATGAAACAGAAAAATAAATATCTGCTATTGATAACTATCAACATTACTTCCCTACCTCTCAAGCTGTGCTCTAAATACATAGATGGTTACCGCTTTCAGGCTTTATTTTACTGGCTAAGCAATTTAATTCTAAAAGCCATCAGCAAAACATTTGTCTATTCATAAAGATCACAAAAGACTAGATTGCAATTGAATATCAAAGCGGTTATTTTTTAAAAACTTGATTTTTATAGTACAACTAATTACCTCTATGTAGCAATAATTGCTAAGTTGGACAAGATATAATACCCATGCTGCTAAATATTTATAAGGAATAAACATCTGTAATTTCAGTTTTACATATTTGCACACATAAAGTTTATATATTTTACTAATTTTCAGGGTTTTTTTTTTTCAGATACACATAAATTTGAAGCTTCTTATATATATATATATATATATATATATATATATATATATATATCTCCAATTTTAATTTTTGCTTCTTCACTTAAGTTAAATTTAATGTAGGTCATATTAGATTGGTTGATCAGAGTAAAGCCCACAAACCTTATAACACCACCTCTTTTTTTTTTTTTTCATAAAAAGAGGTTGTATTTTGCTTTTAAATTTAAATAAATCATTCACTTGCCAGTAATTTACAATCACCTGATGAGATACACTGATATACAACTGCAATTGTGTAGCGATTTTTACATGTTTTTGTGTAATATCCTAATATATATATATATATATATATATATATATATATATATATATATATATATAAAATAAATTCCTTATTTACACTATTTACATTCAGATTATTATCCTCATCTTTGTTTCAGCTGTTATGCCCTCTGACCTTTATCCAGGTGTTTATCAATCCAGATAATCCAGAGAGAATTTCAGACTGAAATTTTTATTTAATCTATAGGAATAAATTGTTCTCATTCCACTGCCCAATAGGGCAGGTTGATTTTCAAACTGTGGTATTGCACTCAGTTTGAGAGTTAGGATTTGACATGATAAATAATGATACAAAATATTGTTTTCCAAATTGATAGCATTTTTGAGGAAACAAGATTAAAGATTAAGTTTAGATTCAATATTGGAGCATTGGAATTTCATTCTGGTGATCAGTGACAGTCTTATACAACAGTCTTATAAAATTTATAATTAAAACATATTCAGTTAGTTTGAAATTAAACAGGATAATAAATTCCATAACCAACAACTGTATATTTTCAAACGTTTGACTGAAATACAAAAGATTGCATTAAAAGATTCACAGAACAATGATTTTACATTGCTTCCAAAAAATATGCTTTCCTCAATGTTGAAACCAGATGAATTGAAGGTGAGAGAATAGGCTATAAAAATAATTGTCCATGGCAGGAATTAAAGCACAAGTGTATTATTAGTAAAACATTGTGCCATCAAATAAGACCTTTATTTACTTTAAAGTGAAATTATACTGAACAATTTAGTTATATTATTGTCATACAGTACAGTAGTTTTAGTTTGATTTTCAATAAACATTGCAAATTTGAAACATTTTGTCCTATAATTTCTGCCCATAAGTATCAGGGTGTTATATACATTTTTATGTATTTTTTTTTGTTTTTATTAATTATGACCTAACAAATGGTGTAAGATTTTATTCATTGATTAGCCTTTTTTGGAATCTTTTACAATTTTTACTCAATCCTCACTTACCGAATACAGTAAGAAATTTTATATTTTGCTTGTGGTGATTCATAACTAGAATTCTTGTGTGAATATATTTTCAATTCAATGTATATAATGCAAAAAATATCAACTTCATTTGGATTTATTCTTGAAATAATAAAATTTTGAAGTCAATTTGTAAGCAAAAACCTTTGGTAATTAGGTATTTCTGTACAATTTTTTCAAATGATCTTTAAAACTAATTGTTCAGAAATTGGTAAAAGTTATAAATCTAATTTTTGATGTCGGTACTTATCACACCAAACCCCAGCTTTCACACTGAGTGCAAGTTGATTTTTTTTTTTTTTTGTTTTTTTTTTTTTTTAAAAAACTGAAAAATCAACCTGCCCTACTGCCCATGCCTACGAATATCTTGTCTAGTTCTTATTATTCATACTGCTCAGATTTGCTGTTTTCACCAAGTCCACCCAGGGATTGAGCTTGCAGTTACTGTCACCAAACTGATGAACATACGCTTTAACTCACTAGGTTATTGTCCCATAGCCAGAGGATACAATGGCTGAAATGTTGTGATAACAATAACAAAGATGAAGACAGTAGTCCAAATATAAATAATAATAACTCCTCATCCCAGAAATTCAAACAGAAATTTGATAATTCTTTGTTTATTTAATTAAAAGACACTTGTCTTTGTCATTAACAATTTATTGCAACTCAGTAGAAATGACTTTTTATTTTTGTCTTTTTCCAGGTAGTGCCAGTGATAAACTGATTTATGATGATGGTGCCATCATACTTAAATATGAAAATGGTGAAGGCAACTGTCACAAAAATTATACACGGAAAACAATCATCACCTTTACATGTGATCACGCTGTCTCTGGCTTCCAGGGACCATCTTATCTGAATGAGGCTGGAGATTGCACCTATCTTTTTGAGTGGCCAACAAAATATGCCTGTTCCCAAATGGTGATCAGTCCTTGCAAAGTACAGAACAGCAAAGGAGAAGAGATCGACCTAAGCAATTTGGCTCTTTCAAATAACAACTACATTTATGAAACCCCTCGATTGGCTGGCCAGAAATTTATCCTAAATGTGTGTCACTCACTTGTTCATAGGAAAGGTAAGCAAAATACTTTCCTCTATTTATATATAAAGAAATGACAAGAGTAAAGTGTTACTTTTTACAATGTGTTTTGCCTCTTGAGGAACTTCATCAAAGGGAAATGTAGAAAATTTGAGAAAACTGTATTCATACAGAGAAAATCTATTGCCAAGAAATAAATGATGCATTCAAATTTAAATTTGACAACAT